CTTAAAATGGGCGGGAGGGGGGGCGTCGGAAGTTGCCGGTGGTTTGGTTTATGTAGCAGGAAGGGCGATTCTTGTGTTGGGACAAAAAATGAGAAGGTGTGGGGGTTACTGCTAGACTGGAGGTTCATAACTGGCACCCCCTTATATATCTTTTCTTTCTGCTAAATCCCCTGCAGACTGCACCGAGCTCGAAGCGGCTCAGAAGTTCCTTGAACAGGCAGCCATCGAGAACCTGGTAAGGGAGAAAACCGGCCTTGTAGTGGCCTTGGGTGGGGTTTGCTGGAGCGGGATCCCTTCCCTGTGTGTGTTTAAAAAAACACACCCCATAGCATAGCAGGCCGAACCGCCATAGAGGGGCGCAGCCTAACTGAAGGGTTTTTTTTTAATCTTGGGGGGCGAATGAAGGAGGCAGCCAATAGCAAAGCTCCCTGGAGTCGCGCCACCCAATAGCAAATGTGAGCCGGGCCCGCGGGAGGGAAAAGGAAGGGGAGGGCAGTTTGCCTCTGCCGCGCTGCATGCATGGAGGGAAAGTGGGGGAGGTGGATCTGTGGGGCCTGCGGGAGCCGGCCATGTGGGGAAGCCGGCATGAATAGTTAGATGCAGCCGGAGGAGGAGGAGGAGGCTGCCTGATAGAGAGATTTTGGCCTAAAAAGCTGGTAGGCGGGCCCTATTAAGGTTTCGTTTCTTTCTGTTGCTTTTCCTTTCTAATCTTAAGGTTTGCCATGCTGTATCTTCAGATCTTTCCACGTTTTCTACACTTTCCTCCCTCCCTGGTAATAGACCAAATCCCCACCATTTCCTGCTTCTCAGTGTTCTTGAATTTAAATTGGCTTTATTTAAACCTTGCCCCAGTAAAGTTTCCGTTGTAAAACTAAAATTATCTTGTTTCTGTGGGGTTTTTTGCTCATTTCTTGGCTGGGCTGTTTTTGGGAGATCGGCTATTGGTTCAGCTCACTCTTTCAAAGAAATATGCTGTCATTTTAATTCTTTGTGAAATAACCATTTATGCCTACTTCTTAAAAGAGAAAGATCGCTAGGAATGGGGTAAAGATGTCATAGCCAAGTGGAAGTAATGGGTCTGATGCATGACAGTTGGAAACTTGTAGGTGAAAAAAGTATATAACATGTAGAGACAGATCATTTAATTCAAAGTCTGTTCCACAATAAGCATGAGATAAATGGGCATCAGATGTTTTCTGTCTAATCACTTTGGTGTTATTTCAATTTAAACTGAGTATCTCTTACAAATAATAGAAAAGCAAAATAGGTATAATCTAACTAGTTCATTGAATCATTCAGTCTTTATGGCAGCTTATTATTTAGCTAGTAAATATGTGTAGTCAATATGTACACATTTAGGAAGGGACATGTCTGTATTTTCAAAACCTTAACATCTTTTAGTCAGGTGTTACTGAGGATGAATTAATTGCTGTGTGAGAGAGATTAATCACACAAAAGAATCTTTAAATGCCTTCTCTTAACTGGCGGATTGTTCAGTCTTCAGGAATATGCGCTTAAACACTGTGGGGAAGGAATTTGTCATCGAGTCCAACCTTTGCCAGTGGAGGAAATCCAGAGCTACAGATGTATAGGTGCTTAGAATATTTTTCCCCATTGATTTTTACTTTTGAAGGCCATATTGTATGGGTTGATTTGTACTTATATATCCAATGCTTTTTACACAAGCATGCTACTTTGAAAGGTTTTGATGTACTTTTTTTACATATTAAATAAAAGGGGAATAAAAATTCCAAATAATGAAGGCTGCTACTTTATTTATTGCTGGAAAACAGTCCTGACTCTACTAGTTCTTTTTCTGCTTATAGTGTGTGATTGCTGCTTCTCTATAAAGCTAAGTAGAAGGGATTCTAGAGTGTTCCCGTGATCTCACATGTTCTTCAGTGAAGGATAGATAATGATCTTCTTTGGGTTAAAGCTTACTGATATACAGTTAGGCACATATTTTGGTTGTAAACTAGTCTAATTCAGATAATGTTTCTGGAGTGAGAAATACCTATACCTCTCACCACTTCACCTACATTCTAAATTAATGTGAAAAGAAGCATGAGGGTAACACTGAAAGACTGGCATCTCTTTACAAAATCAGCATGTTTGCAAACTTTCCCCCCTACAAACTTTTAAGTTTGAATCAGATATTCCTATTCCAAGTGTAGTAATGTTATCTATTATAAAGTTTTCCTTGTAAACAAGAGGCTGAAAAAATATTTTCAGTTCATATATGCAAGGAGCAAATCTTTGTTTATGACATTTATTCATTAGTGCAGAGCACTATTCTGGGCAGTGTGCATATAAAGCAACAAAAAAAACCCCAATAAAATACTGTATATAAATTACAATAACAAACTGAAATAAGGCGGCAGGTAAATTCAGTCAGCCTCACCCATACATTGCATTATCTTGACTACAGTCCTTTTGAGTTTCTGCAGCACAGACTGAAAATCATGTAACTTGTATGTGAAATTGTGCCAGCTGTCATGTGCTTAGACATACCCCAATCTTGTGCTTGGTTGTGCAGCATGTCACGTCTCCTGGCCTGCAGCAAATAGCAAGAAAATACAAAAATGCTTGCATTACCTCCCTTATGTCAGGATGTTGGCCATTACTTCTTTCTATAACAAAATGTAGGCATTAGGGAGTCCTTGTGGATTCAGTGTATAATTAAAGTTGTTTGTGAGAGCAGAACATATTGGCCGAAATCCTGTTGCACTCACATATCAGCATACTTTTTGGAAGTGACTTACCTTGGTTTAGAAATTTCTGTGGGATTTGGCGTGCAACAGATAATGTCTGTGGAGATTTATTTACTTACAGTAGTGTGGTTCAAAAGGTTAGCTGTTTGCTTAACCGTGCAACTGGATTTTAACCATTGTGACCTGAATGCTAGGTTTCCAGTTTCTTTCCTCACAGAAATCCTACCAATTATATATACTTTATTTTACTATGTACAGTCTTTCACTTAAATACATGCATTTGTATGAAAGTTGAATTGCAAGAATGAATTAACAAAGATAATTTAATCCTCCTGATAACTGGTGTTAGTCTTTTGTGTTATTAAACATTGTTCCAGAGCATGGTTCCTCATTATAGTGTGCACTTCTACCCTTAGTCCTTTATAATCTTACTTGGAGACACTGCAACAGGCTAGTTTTGTGAAATAATTTTTATTTTTACTAAAGAGTGGCATGGTGTTTGTTACACAGTGATCTGGAATCTCAGCAAGGTTTTTTTAACTTCATAAAGTGCAGTTCACCTGTGTAGCAATCACTGCCTTAAATCCAGAACTCCCTGCAGATCAACTTAATGTTTACAACAAGATTATAATATCCTGATACTGTTGTTGTTTAGTCATTTAGTTGTGTCTGACTCTTTCTGACCCCATGGACCAGAGCATGCCAGGCCCTCCTGTCTTCCATTGCCTCTCGGAGTTGGGTCAAATTATGTTGGTAGCTTTGATGACACTGTCCAACTATCTCATCCTCTGTTGTCCCTTTCTCCTCTTGCCTTCACACTTTCCTAACATCAGGGTCTTTTCCAGGGAGTCTGCTCTTCTCATGAGATGACCAAAGTATTGGAGCCTCAGCTTCAGGATCTGTCCTTCCAGTGAGCACTCTGGTTTGATTTCCTTTAGAATGGATTGGTTTGTTCTCCTTGCAGTCAAGGGGACTCTCAAGAGTCTCCTCCAGCACCACAATTCAAAAGCATCAATTCTTTGGCGGTCAGCTTTCTTTATGGTCCAGCTCTTGCTTCCAGTCATCACTGCAGGAAAAACCATAGCTTTGACTATGCGGTGATGTCTCTGCTTTTTAAGATGCTGTCAATGTTTGTCATTGCTTTCCTCCCAAGAAGCAGGCATCTTTTAATTTTATGGCTGCTATCACCATCTGCAGTGATCATGGAGCCCAAGAAAGTAAAATCTGTCACTGCCTCCATATCTTCCCCTTCTGTGTGCCAGGAGGTGATGGGACCAGTGGCCATGATCTTGGGTTTTTTTGATGTTGAGCTTCAGACCATTTTTTGCGCTCTTCTCTTTCACCCTCATTAAGAGGTTCTTTAATTCCTCCTCACTTTCTGCCATCAGTGGTATCATTGCATATCTGAGGTTGTTGATATTTCTTCCGGCAATCTTAATTTTGGTTTGGGATTCCTCTAGTCCAGCCTTCCGCATGATGTATTCAGCATATGTAGACCTCCCTAAAAACACATGTTCTAGCTGTATAAACATCTTTTTTCCCTAAGCTCCTTTTTCTCTTTTCACTTGTTAACTGTTTAAAAATTATCTTATACTGTTCATGGGAGGGGAGAGGGGGGAAATCCAGTGTTCTCTTTTTGTGGTGCTGTGCAGGTAACTTTTGCCCTTTTATCTAGAATTTCTTCCTGTACAACTATTGAGGCTAGTGAAGTTCATCTAAGTTTCAACCTTGTTTAAAAGGGCGAGTTATAACATAATGTAAGAATATCCTAAGGTGACTTAGGCAGTGTTGAAAAACAGAGCTGATAATGGCTTCGTTGATGTGAGTTAAATTCTTTGCACATCCTGTAGGAGGGCTGAGAAAATAATTATTGTTCCAGTACCATATTGTCAGGCTGCAGTTCAGAGAGTTACACACTTCTCTGCACATGAAAAAGGGAATTTTGGCTATGTTTCTTAAACATCATCCCTCTATGCTATGTAAGAATCTACTTTTGTTGTGTGAAGCTACTTCAAGGAACATTTTATAATATTACTAGCAGAACTTTGAGCCCTCATTTTAAAAAGCTACCAAGTAATCCAAACTTTGAGCACTTACCCTCAGTTTCTAGTTCCTAGATATCCATGTCAGTTTGTTTGTCAGTGTACTTCTAGTGGCCTACAGACCTGCCTTAAGCAAGCTTCAATGTTTGGTTGTCTTCTCCTGTTTATCATTTGTATGTTCTGACTAATCAGATGTAATTTACCAAATATATCTTTATCCTCTTCTGTCTTCCATCCATTCTTTCTTTTCAGCCACCATCAATAATGAAAACTTACTCCATAGTTGGTCTGTCAGTGCTCCCCCACTGCCACCAGTGATAATAAAAGTAGAGAAATGCTTTTGAGAAAATTGTCCTTTGTACATGTTCTGGTATCTTGCTAATTTTAGCTAAGCTAAAAATTGTGTGGTTTCTCCATCGTGCTTAGACACTGAATCCTATTTGATGATTGTATAATTTCTTTATTAGATAGTTCAGTTGGAACGCAAAGAACTAGTCCCACATCATTTTGCAAATTAACTCTTTCTAAACCACTGCAGGTGGCTTTGTAAGCATTTGAACTCAAGCTTTAATAATTTACAGCATTACACACAATTATCTCAGAAGTCTCTTGATCCAAGGGGGCACAGCTGATAAGAATGTGAATCTCATTAACATAGTTTGCATGTTGTGAAGGTCATGGGCCAAACTACTATTGATGGATCTGAATTGAATGTAGATAGGAAGTTTTGGAGGTTTCTTAATGGCCATTTATTTGTGGGGCACTTGGCTCCTTCACTCTTTTCCTCTTCCCCTAAATCCAGTAGTTCTGTTAGAATCATGAGGACCCATGCGGTAATACTGATATCAGGCCTCATGCATCTTCTCTTTGCTTGCTGTTGCATTCAGTTATAACATATTTGGCTGGGATTTTCAGGAAATACGGCAAGCTTTTCAAACAACTTGAAAGAACATTTGAACCAATGGAGCATCTGGTTTTTCATATTTTGTTCTAAATAAAATATGGGAAGAGTAACTGGGCACAGTAGAATGCAATGTAAATATAAGAAACTGGTGTAGACATACAGTATGTGAATAGAGCTGAAATTAAGTCTGGTCCTGCGGTGCAGCAGGATGAAGCAACCTGCTTTAGGTGTGCTATGAAATGGGATAGAAAAAATAACTTGAGTAGATCCAGTAAGCTTTTTATACAGTTGGCCAAGAAGGAGGTGGGGAGATCTTTATCCTTCCATATATTGTGGGACTTATTGGTCCTATGCAGTACAGCTAATGAAGTGGGATTATGAGACTTGTAGTTCAGCAATTTATGTAGAGCCAGAGATACCCATAACCCTATCTCTTTTTATCCTACTCAACCATTGTGCTGTCTGAGGCAGCGCTCCAAATGTTTTGGACTCAGTTGATCATAGTGAGATGTTCTTTGGATTATCTGAAGAAATAAAGGAACCAGTTTTGGTACAGTAAACTAAGCGTTCTTGATATGAGGGGTGGGTTTGACTTCTAGGTTTAGCACAGGGTTACTGAAAGAATGAACAAGTCAGTATGTTTTTTGTTGAACTGCTACATGAATTACTAGCAGGAAGGAATAAATCCTAGACATGGAAATTTGAGTCTACTTACCTTGAAGGATTGAAATACTGCAATTCATCTGTGGTTTATTTGCTCTTCCGTTGATAACACTTTCAGTTAAATACATTTAAATCTCGGAATTCCCTCACTCAGGAGAAAAAAAGATTACTGATTTCAGTTACTGATATATCTTAATCTCACTTACTCTCTCTTTTGGCCAGCCCACTTTCCTTGTGGAACTGTCCAGAGTGCTGGCAAATCCAGGAAACAGCCAAGTTGCCAGAGTTGCAGCAGGTTTGCAGATAAAGAACTCCTTGACATCTAAAGACCCTGACGTAAAAGCACAGCACCAGCAGAGATGGCTTGCAATCGATGCCAATGCTCGTCGAGAAGTCAAGAATTATGTATGTAGAATCTCCCCACTTAACTTGCTTTTTAATCTTGTCTGTTTGGTTAAACAGTATGTTCTGTCTTGCTGTTGTGAGTAACAACATATATAAGGCCTTGCTCCTCAGTTTGTTTATTTTCTGTGTAGTCCCAGATTAAAAGAAATGTTCAAGCATTAGAGGTTGAGACTGTTTTGCTGATTTTGGGTGGCTTTTTATGGAGTTCTTTGGAGAACATGATATAAATGAAAAGACTGTAGTTTGTATTTCTGTTGCCTAACGTGCATTCAGTAATCTTACCTTCTGGTATTCTGACACTTTCCTCTTTCTCTACAGGTTTTGCAGACCTTGGGTACAGAAACATACAGGCCCAGCTCAGCATCACAATGTGTTGCTGGCATTGCCTGTGCAGAGATCCCCATGAATCAGTGGCCTGAACTTATTCCACAGCTCGTAGCCAATGTTACAAATCAACACAGCACAGAACATATGAAAGAATCAACATTGGAGGCCATTGGCTACATCTGTCAAGATATTGTAAGCTCTGACTTTTAATTCTGCAGTGCAGCTATAGTGCTTTTAATTCTGTGCTTAGTTTGATGTTTGGTGGCTCAGAGTGGCCCAATTCCTGAACAAGTGTCAACTGTGCTGTGCATGACATGTCAGTACTGCTTCTGAACATGTGCTAAGGCTTTCCCACAAAACTCAGGAGCTGCCTCCAAAATTGACGTTGAAAACAACAATCAAGCCAGCTGGAGACTCCTGCTCTGTTCATCTAGAAATAAAGCAGTAGATACAGCAAGGGTACGCTGAATGCACCAAGCAGGTGATGTGGATTGACTCTCACTCAGACTGTCAGCATGAGGAAGAAACAACAGACTTTTTTAAAAAATTGTCACTTTAAAAAAACAGTCCTGACTGGGGCAGAGTCAGTCTGTTCCTTCATTGGCAGCTGTACAACTGTCCCCTGGTTGGAAAGGCAGGGAGATGAATGTATGGACAAAATGTGATACTTGTTTTTCCTTCCTCTCTGTTTGCATTTTGTCTGAATGTGGCCAATCCTGCAGTCCTGGAGGCTGTTAAAGGAGCCTTGTGGCGCAATAGTTAAACTGCAGTACTGCTGTGAAGATTCTGCTCATGACCTAATTTTGATCCCAAGCTCAGGTAGCTGGCTTGAGGTTGACTCAGCCTTCCATGGTTGATGAATTGAGTACCTGTGTCACTGGAGTAGGGCAATATGTAGCCTGCATAACTAAATCATAAACCACCCAGAGAGTGCATTAAGTGCTGTGCGGCAGTATGTAAGCAGCACACTTTGCTATATCTTAAATCTGATGTAACAAAGCAGCAAACCATAAAGTGCCTAAGGAATGTAGAAACAGTTCAATAGAGAAAACTATTTTTTTCTTTCTTGTTCTATTTTGTATCTCTTTCCACTGCACCTGCCATTGCGTTGCTCTTGCAAAACAGTTTATGTTCAATTGTTCATTCTCTCTGATTCAGAAGAAAAAAAGATGAGAGAATGTAGATCTTTGTGTACACATTCTCATTTTTGTTTCATGTAGCTTACTGTTATGCCCATAGTAAAAAGATTTTTATGGCATGTAAATGCATAAATGTGTATGGAATGCACCCAGTTCTGAGCCAGAAGTTGAGTTTGATAGTCACTTGCTTCTTGGGATACCTCAAGCTATCATGACCTTACTGTTCTTTTGATGTGACATCATGCTGTGCTTTGGTTGGAAACAAAACTGATGCTCACATAATCCACCTTTGCTCTGATCTATGTTTCAGGATCCAGAACAGCTTCAAGATAAGTCTAATGAGATCTTGACAGCAATTATCCAGGGCATGAGGAAAGAAGAGCCAAGTAATAATGTGAAGCTAGCAGCTACCAATGCACTCTTGAACTCTTTGGAATTCACCAAAGCAAACTTTGACAAAGAGGTGAGTTGCAAGTAGGGCAGGGAAGGGGGAGTGACTTAAATGCAAAGCAAACAAGGACATGGAATAAATCCACGGTCTATGATGAGAAACCATGCACCACTCTGAGTTCTGATGCATTCTTATTTCTGCTGAGACTGGGATTTTTGTCTCCTAAGAGTGTCCTGTTTAGAAGCCAGCCCCTGTTGTATGAGTTAAGAATGAAAGTTAAATCTGCTAAAATGGAATACATTAAAAAGTTTGTTACTGAGCAGGGATTTGGGCAGCTCTGACAGCAGTCATCTGCACTTGCAAACTAGCATAGTCCACCCCCTTGTATTATCCTTCTCAGAGATCATTTCAGTACAGCAGTCATTTCCTCATAGGTCCTCTGGAGTCTATCATGTTAATATAGTTTTTCACAGTTTTGCAAGGCCACAGTGTTCTGCACATAAAAATATAGGAGTAATCTCTCACCTGCCACTTGCTTCAGTCTCAAAATTTTTAGAAAACATATTTCATTAAAACATGTAAAAACCTTAAAAATAGCGGGGAACCAATAGTTGATTCTTCAGTTACTTAAGAGTCTCTACAATTAGCTTCTAATTTGTTCCTGGTCTTTACATATACGTGTCAAGGAAGTTTTCATGATTCATTCTGTTAGGCCTCATGCAGTGTTAAGATTTACTGGTAGCCATCAATATTGTTTCAGTCAGATGCACTGTAGTACAATTAGTGAATATATCAGATAATTTTTGCCCAATAACAGGAAACATCAAGATCATTTGGGGCAGGTATGATTGAGTCTTCCATAGTACATGTTGAGGGGCATAGAGTACATTGACACAGTTATGAAACTGTCTGTCCTTTCTCTGCACTTGCAGACATTTGTGTGAGTGCAAATCTCCTGTCTGTATAAATCATTGTACATTTTATGCAAATGAAATAAAATGTTCATGTTCCTGGAAAGGCAATAATAAGAATAACAATATCCACAGTAAGCTTTGCTGAACTGCAGTCCAGTTCATCAGATGGATGCTGTCCATGACACCACATGCCAAATAAATATATTAGGCGTTAGCATGCCACCAGACTTCTTGGGTACCATCTTGTTGCGTAAACTCAGAGCAAAAAAAAAAAAATCACATAAGTATTCTCCTCCCCCTGTGTCACCAGTCTCCCCATTGCATGACCAGCCTCATAATGTGAGTATGGACACAGCAAAAAGCCTGTTGGGAGAGCGGGGATGCTTACTTGGAGAGCCATATGGCAACAGGATACCAGCCATGCTTTTTTGTATGTTATGAACAATGGCTTATGACAAGAACATGAGATAACAAGGTTTGAGTATATATGCTTGATTTTCTCAAATCATGATTTATGAAACTGCTTTTAAGATAACTGGATAGTATAAACTTTCCTTGATTCATATAAAATAGGTAGCCATGGTTAAACAAGAAGGAAAGGGCAGCATGTGAGCCTAAGTCACTACAGTTCATGCACGTCATGAATTGAAAACCTGATCGTTTTTTCACAGTATGTAAATGCAACCATTGTCTAATGTGAGAACATCATATGCTTGAGTACATAATACATGTGGATATGCCAAAGTTTTATCTCCTGGGTTGCTATGCAGCACAATTTCTGTTAAGTCATTGGACACAGATGGAAATTCATTTGCAAAAAATACTTTGTTTTCCATCACACTGTTTATGAATGCACAAGCAGCATACACCCAACACTTAAAACAATGTTTTAAAGAGCTAGACACCAAAAGATAGCAGAAAATGTATTAAAATCTCGGAGAGAGCAGGCAGCAGTTTGATAGTCCTTAGAAAGGTGTTTCTTTCAGCTGGTAAAAAACCTTCAGCAGGGAGACAAAATGAATTCTTGCAAGATTGCTATGTTCCAGGAGTTGAGGTGAGTGTAAAATTCTCACAGGTTTAAATAATGAATCGATTCTTTCTTCACAAAGCAGTCAATGGTAGCAAATCTATGCCAGAAGCAAATTGACATCTGAGTCTTATTAGACTATTGTCTTTGCTTCTGCAGAGAAATCAGTCCCTGTGTACTGTTGACCGCTGTTAGAAATAAAAGGTGAAATTGTCATGCTGGGTCTATGGATTACTTGTGTTTTGAAAATAAACTTAACCATTAAGAGGCTTTGAGGTTTCTACTGATTAATAATATGCTTTTCTTTTTCTCTTCTTCCCCAATGTCCAGTCTGAAAGGCACTTTATTATGCAAGTAGTCTGTGAAGCAACACAGTGTCCAGATACAAGGGTAAGTTTAGACTGTTGTTTAAAAGAAATTGCAGATGACACTGCTCTTAGTGTATACAACTGTTTCATATTTGTGCCTTGTCTCTCACCAAACAGTAAAGAAAACAGTACTTAAAACAAACAGCAGCAAATCAGAACAAAAACTATCTGCTCCAAAGGAGCTAAAAGTCTAGCATTGACAATGAGTTAGACAGACAGGACGGGGAGACAGAAGTATGGATGCGAGGACATGCCATTGTTTGTCCTGATCACTGGTTACACTTGTGGATGTAGATGGAAGAATTAACCAAAGGCAGGACAGAGAACATGGATTTTGAATATGCTTTAAATGGTGTGGTATTATGTTATAGGAGTCTTAGCTGCCATTGTAAAGGAGAATGGGCAGATTCCCCTAAGAACAGTGTTCCAGAACATCAGAGTAATAGGAGAAATTACAGACTGAAATGTAAATAATAATAAGGAAATAGCAAAGCAATGGAGAGTTGTAAAGATAAAGAGAAATTCATGCTCCATTCAGAAGGGGAGGGAAGTCAGCGTAAAGCGTAATCTGGGCAGCGGGAACCGAGAATGATTTTCGTCCTGGAATCGAATAGCAAGGGGAGGCTGAGCCAAGTTCTTGTATTCCAAGGCAAAGTTGGAAAGACTATGCAACATAGTTTTAGCTTTGGATGGCAAATATTTTTCTGCAGTGTAGTTAGGGAGGAACAATTAAGTATTAACAATATACTGAATTTTGAGAAGAATGGAGAAGAGTCAGATGTAAAGCCATGTCCATGGAAGAAACTAAAACTGTGCTACAGTCTTTTGTCAGTCATAAGCAAACATGAAGTACTGTGGTAGGGTGATGCTTGCTAGTTGTTGTCAAAGAGCCAGTTAGCTTGGCATTCTGTCTTGACAGTTAATTGCTTTTGAATAGTGTGGCTTGGTTAAGAGGAAAGGAAGAACGCATTTCTAATATTAAGGGCCCTAAGTGTCAGTGGCCAGGAATATAGAATATTGGGTAGAAGGAAGCTAATAGGAGAATGGAAGGTTGAGATTTAAAAAGGAGGTGAGATCAGAGAAAAGGAGTTTGGTTTTGGAGGATGGATATGAAGTGAGAGTTGAGAAGTGATAACTTCACCCAGGTACAGAAGAGCTTTGAAAGGCTTTGAGAGATTATTACTGAGTTTATGTGGCATCATAGATACAGTATATATGACCCTTTTGGCTCCAAGAAGCTACTTTTGGGAGATTTACTTTATCCTGGATAATGGCATAAGTTGCCTTGGTGCTTTCTGGTGTTAAAGCTACTGTAAAATATGAAGAATATGGACAGCCATTCATTAAGGAAACATTTATTGTAACAGAGAAATCATGTTTTGGAAGATGGTTGAAACCAAGCATTTCCAGATCCCAGCTGTTTAAGGTATTTCATAAGAGCTGGTGCTTTTTGAGTAAAGTAGTGGGCACTGATGATTCTGTTTTCCCAAGCTGCTTCAGTATGCTTTCAAAACAACTCAAGCAAGATTACTTGGAGATTGTAGCTTTTCATTACATTAATTATGTGAGGTCTGTATATGTTTTTAATTGTTAATAAGGCACTCTATTGCACTAACACTTTTAAAAATACTGTAGGGGCATTTTACTGGCATTTAATGTCTAAACTGCTTTGCAACATTTTCTTCATTCACCCTTAGTATTTTCCATTTCTGAATTGGAGAGCAGATCTACAGACTGCTTGATCAGCCAGGGCAACTGAGGTCCTCATCCTCATGCATGAATGAGCATTCTTGCTTTTTCAAAACATTCACAAAGCTAATACAACATGTCCCCTTCTTTCTATTAGGTGCGAGTAGCTGCCTTACAGAATTTAGTGAAGATTATGTCCCTTTACTATCAGTACATGGAAACGTATATGGGTCCTGCACTTTTTGCTGTAAGTATTCAGGATTGAGGAAATGTAGTTGCTTAAGAGGTACATTGTAATTATGAATCAAACATGGTCTGAAATGTATTTTGCTTTTCCAAAGATCACAATTGAAGCAATGAAAAGTGACATTGATGAAGTTGCTCTTCAGGGAATAGAGTTCTGGTCAAATGTCTGTGATGAGGAAATGGACCTGGCTATTGAGGCATCAGAGGTAAGTTAACAGCTCTCCAGTAGTGTGTTTTCCAAACTGGTTGCACTGAGGGGACCATTCTGAGTAGTGTAGCAGGCTTTGGTCCATGATGAAACACCATGCACCACACTGATTAAAGTGATGCATAAATCTATGAATGCTGAGACCAAACATTTCTAATGATACAGGTGTCTCCCTTTTTCTTTCTGAAATATGCATTTGTCTAACTGATGATAGATTGATTGTTACAGATGTCTCTCCATGGTAGATTGCATTTGTAAATACTGTTAGATTATGACAGACACCCCCTTTCATCATAGCACAAATCCTTTCATGGTTGTAACAGTAATCCTTCACAGGTGGGGAACTCTAGGTAAATGAGAATTTATTAATCAGACCCCATAGTGATGAAGCTCATGGTTAAGCAAAATCTTCCATTTATTTTTCAAGTTTCTCTCAAGTTATGTATAAATTAAAAGTTAAAGCCAATTAAACTTCGTAATTTCATTTTAGTTGTCACTGCTTGCATAAAATCAAAACTGAACAACTTTAAGATCATTCCTTGGGGGCATTTTCTTTAAGTATCTAGTATTTAAATGTCAGGTACTGTAAGAAACTTGTTTCAAGGGAATTTGAATTTGATTGAGGTGATGTATGTGTGTATGTTTTTATTTTCCAGGCAGCAGAACAAGGAAGACCTCCAGAGCACACCAGCAAATTTTATGCTAAGGGTGCACTTCAGTATCTTGTCCCAATTCTCACACAGACACTGACCAAGCAGGTAAATGGTGGTACATTTTCATCATTTTCCAGACCAGACAGTTTTGGAGTCTGTTGTGGTTTCCATAAGAACTTGAAGCTAAAACGTATCCGCTCCTGTTGAAAAAAGGTGGTGTATTGATAGCAAGTTAGTGTCCCCATCAGATGCCTGGGTTCGCTTGTGATTTGTTAAGAGTACAAGGGTTCTGAAATACATGAAAAAATCTGAAGAGTTAGAGATAATCACTTCTGGTCTATTTTTTTCTCTCTGCTACTGGGACTTAATGGTATTCAAATATCGTACATTTGTGTTTGCTTAACAGTTACTGTAGAACAAGTTGGCCAGGTAATTTATGTATATTGCCATATGGCAAGTTTTACTCTTGCTATGTGGCTGAGCTAGTACAGCCTCTTTGCTTACATTATCACTTCTGACTGCTGGTTTATATCATTCTTGAAGATAATGATGTTTAAGTTGTATATTCAGTTGTAAAGGGGCCCTGACTGAACACAATGTATGCAGAGAGAAAGATACTAATGTTGATGTTCTCTCTTCCCTTCTACCTCCCAATTAGGATGAGAATGATGATGATGATGACTGGAACCCTTGCAAAGCTGCTGGGGTCTGTCTCATGCTCCTAGCCACCTGTTGTGAAGATGACATTGTCCCTCATGTTCTGCCCTTCATCAAAGAACACATAAAGAATCCTGACTGGCGATATCGAGATGCTGCTGTCATGGCATTTGGGTGTATTTTAGAAGGACCAGAGCCCAATCAGCTCAAACCCCTTGTCATTCAGGTAGGATACTCTTGTACTGGGTTGCATCCTTAGTTTTTCAAACCATAAAAATATCCAAGCGGCACTGTCCTCTCGAGTGTGTCTTATTTCACTACAAACCTTCCTTTCATCTATGAAATAAAAGAAATTTGAAGCATGGATAGCTGTATAGCTATGTTGCAGATTCAGTGTTGCTCTAATTTCAATATGTTGGGCAATATTTCCTGCAGTAGTAGATGCACTTCATCTGGGTTGTTCCCTTTCTCCGACAGGATAAGAGTATGGCACTCCATTTTAAATTACACTCTGAAAGGGAGGACCAACTTATTCCCAAATCCCATTCCTTCCCCTTCAGAGTGTTTCATCATATATCTCTAAGAGGCCTTTCTTCAACTGCTCACTGAAACATAAAAGATTGGTTATATTGCTTACAATACACTAGTAAATAACAGTGGATATTCTTTAATTAAGTCATGTATGAACTGGGCATAGCAGTTCGAAATACTACACGTGTTGCCTTTATTTTTTGTAAGGAACCTTAAGCTCTACAGTATTGAAAACCATTTTTGTTTTGTCCTTGGACTCGAGAGGGTTAAGAGCCAATAAGAGGATGTATCTCCACACACTCCCATGAAAATGCTCATGGCAAGACTGACCATTGGTCAGAAAGCAAAGAGCTTCAGGGAGGTTGCCCACTCTCCCTGTCAGAAAGAGTTACATGAGTAGTAGGTTCCTTTGGCTTTTAGTATGCCCTCAGAAACGAGCCACTCGGGTAAGGAGAACAAAATCCTCCCTTACTGAAAGGCTGTGGTAAGGGAAGAATCACCCTAACCCTAGTCCCTGGTCAGGAAAGAGATGGCTTGAGAGACATTTTTCCTTTTCTGCTGCAAAAAACAACTACTCCAGCTTTCAGTTGCAGAATTGAGGAAAGAATATTCTGGCCTTAATGACCATCTGGGAGTGGAGAGGGGTTGACGCTTGACATAAAAGACTTTGCCTTTGTTTGAAATACAGGCATACCTTGGTTTTTTATATAATGTGAAAAATTTGTAAACCAAAACACTGTTTGCCATAGGAATGGGGTCAGCGCTATAAACCTCCAGGCACAGTGCATCCTAGGGAAACTTGCTTCGTGGTGTGAAAAAAATCGTAAACCAAGGCATTATTTTCAATGGATCTTCCTTCATAAACAAAAAATTACATTAACCGAGGCGTTCGTAAACCAAGGTACAACTGTACAGCTTTGAAAAGAGAAAAAGGAAGACCTAGTTACATCAGTCCAGTTGTCCTGATAGTAAAGTTTACTCCCTGTTTTACAACTAAAAAGTCAGAAGGCCCTTACAATAAGACTGTGTCAGATAGAGGAGAATGCAGCCATTTCTTTGAATCTGCTCCTTTTAATAGTTCTATTATGTATTGGGCCTTTAAAAATGAAATGACTCACTGTGTTTTACTTTCTGTGAAAGGGCAAGATATAATAGAGTGGTCCGGTGGACCAGATAGGCGGGGTACAAATTAAATAAATAAATAAATAATACATTTTTTAAAAAATAGTTACTGTACTTTGCTAGATTCTGTGATTGAACAGAGATTTAAATGTGAATTTCTTATTTCTGATCCGCAAATTTGTTCTTGCAGAACTTCTTTGTCACTAGTTTCTGGGAACACCTAAGAAGTGGATTTATTTCACAGTGTGGTGGACCTGAAGGTTGCTAAGTTCTCTTCGACCAGCAGGCCAATTGAAATGTTCTGTTTTTATTTTTGTAAGCTGTCTTGAGAGCTTCCTAAAAGGTGCTGTGTGAACTTGTAAAATAAAGTACATTGTCTGACTTCTTAATTGTTTAATTTCTTCTATAGGCCATGCCTACTCTTATAGAGTTAATGAAAGACCCAAGCGTGGTGGTCAGGGACACAACTGCATGGACTGTGGGTCGGATCTGCGAGCTGCTCCCAGAAGCAGCTATCAATGATATTTACCTCGCTCCCCTGTTGCAGTGTCTAATTGAAGGCTTGAGCGCAGAGCCAAGAGTGGCTTCCAATGTATGCTGGGTAAGGCAAGATCCTTTTTTAGGGTTGAACTTGACTGGTTGATTTAATCAGGAAAAAAAGAGAAAATATACATTCAGCTGCTGCTCCCAGCACACTCTTGTCTGTGTGTATTTGTGTATTTTGGAGAAATAGTAGAAGATGACGATAGTGAGCACGTTTGTGCTGACATGCAAAATGTTTACAATGACAGTGCTGTTGTAATTTGCTGTACATAATGGGAATGGGAGCAGTTAAGGACAGGCCCAAAAAGGTGGGCTCAAACACTAAGGAGTTGGTGGTTCAGGCTGGAAATGATTGCATATTAACAGGGCAAATCTTCCTGAAATGATTGAGCTCTGTCTAAGCTGTTGACATCTGCTGTATTTCAGGCTTTCTCTAGTTTGGCAGAAGCTGCTTATGAAGCTGCTGACGTGGCTGATGATCAAGAGGAGCCTGCAACATACTGCTTATCGTCTTCATTTGAACTAATAGTTCAGAAACTTTTAGAGACTACAGACAGGTAAATAAGCCATTCCTCTTCCAGAATACCTTAACTTATTGCTTACCTGTGGTCCTGCTTGTGAACGGCACAAACCACTTCCATTATATGAAGTAGTAAAATAATCAGAATTGCATACAATACACATTTTTGTATCATTTATATGAGTTGCAGACTGTTGTTCTTTATACATTAAGATTTGGATTTACTTTAGTAGACTTCTGCTTTCTGTAGCAGATATGCATTCTCCTGACATACAGGGGTCAGCCTCAGAGTTCTAATGCAGGTGTCTATATTAGACAGAAAAGGAAAGATAATGTGTACCTTTAGTTGGACTAAGGTGGATTGCAAAGCCATAAAATAGTGTTTGTTTATTGGCATTGAATGATGGCTCCTCTATGCTTTCTTGTATGTCAATATGAAATACTGTATCAGTTCTTAAATCATTTACAACATTAGAAGCTAAAATTGGAAAAGGCAAAGTTTAGGATAAAACAGTGGGTAACTGTTGTAGCAAAACATAAATATCCTGTAGTCCAGAAATTGATGACAGAATGTGTACTTCAGCCTTCTATAATAATTATCACAGTTTACACTAAGACTAATCACTCCTCAGGCCCCAAACTATCCTTCTCTCCCTGATTCCTAACACAGACTGAACTCAGATTCTGACTCAGAGTTGAACTCACTCCTCCTCTCTCCAGCTCCACCTTTTAACATCTCCCGTGGCCCCACCTCTTAACCATATTAGCATAATAAATCATGAGTAATAATAACATTGCATAACAGGGTGAATGCTACACTTCTCATGTGTAGAGTGGAGTTCTTGGAAAATTTAAGAGTTAAAGCCAGTTAAATGTAGTCAGGCTGCCTGGATAACAACTTAAATTTGGCACACTGAGATTTTGTTCAGAAGCTTTTGTTTCATCTTCAGGTCTAAATGGAACATTAGCAATAATTTTGGGAAGACCAGGACATCAGTGCTTAAACTGGTGCCTTTATGATGCAAATGCGTATCAGATTTGCCAATAGCTGTTGAAGCGGGGATGGGCCATCTAGCTTGGTGTGTGACTTGTGTTCTGCTCATTGTTAAACTTATGTCGGTAATATCCATATTTTTCATATGATCATTATATTTCTGAACACTTTGTCAAACACGAGCCTGTGGGTGTTCACCCCTTTTCTTAATTGAGCCATTAATGTTTTTCAATTTTAAAAACAATTTTCTAACTAGATCATGGCAACTCCCAAAGGCACTACCTTTCAAACTGCTTGTTGCCTTGAGATATCAGGATGAAAGAAGGGTTACCTGATCTCTGCTGCCTTTCTGTTGAACACACACCACTGGGTAGATTGCATCCCAGAAACTGTACTGTGGCAAGGGGAAGAATACCTCTTGGCCAGAAAGGGAGAGGTTCCATGTGGTTTTCGCATTTCTTTGGCAATGGACTTTAGTCCAGTTGTCTGTTGGCTAGGAATTGCCACTGGTTGGACAATCACATTTTGGTTTGCAAGAACATAAAGACTCCTGCTGCATAAAAGTCCCCCATCTGGGATTTTTAGGCATCTGACAGTGATCAGTCAGATGCCTAAAAGGAAGCCCACAGGTAGGACCCAAACACAGTACCACTGTTCTGCTCATCTTCCTCAGTAGCTAATATTTATACAGTGGGGTCTCGACTTACGAACTTAATCTGTATTGGAAGGTGGTTCTTAGGTCGAAAAGTTCGTAGGTCGAATCTGCATTTCCCATAGGAATGCATTGAAACCCATTTAATCTGTATCTGCTCTTTTCCGTCCATAGAAACTAATGGGAAGCTGCTATTCCGCCTTCTACCACTAGAGGGGGATATTCCCCCCTCCCCTTAGGTTCAGGAAACGGAGGAAGGCAGGGAACCGTTTGCAAAGCACTTTAGAAATCTTTTTCTTTCACTGAAGCCAATTTTAAATCATGTTTAAAGCTTGTTGTGCTGATTTCTTCAGCACAAAGACACACAGGCAGGCTTTTTAGGTGCTGAGGGAGCCTCCCCAAGCCTCTTCAGAGCCAGCTGATCAGCTGATAGGCGGGGAGAGGAGGGTGCGCGGGGGGGGGAGCACAAAATGGCTGCTAGGCTCTCTTCTGGTGTGGACTTTTAGCTGTTTCCTGCTCTTTTTCCTGCTGTTTGGGGGCTACCAAGGCCTGGTAAGTGACTTTCTTTTATTTATTTTAAAGTTTCTGACCCCTTTTCCCCCTCAAGAAGCCTCTAAGGGGAGGGAGGGGGCACTTTTTTTCCTGTTCGTAACTCGAGGGAAGTTCGTATGTCCAGTCCTTATTTCCCCTGCCATTTTCTGAAGGAAATATTCTTAAATCCTTCATGATGTTGTTTGTTAACTGATGACTTCTTGGACTTCATGCTATATCCCCTAATCTCTGGTATACATTCTAGCTGGGCTTTGTTTATTGTGGTTTTGAGCACCTTCTCCGCAATATTCAAGAAATGTTTATCACTGTGGTAGACCTCCTACAGAATTCTCCATTTCAGTATAACTTAATTTAGATGGCATTTCATTCAGTTTCTGGTCTAGCAGCACTTAAATCTTGCTTTGGATTTTGGAAGCCACCTTTGCCCTGCTGGTGGCAGATACCAGTTTCACCAGTTGTCATTGTTGTCACTTTTCAGGTTTTTTTCCAGGAGAGGAAAGAGGAGGGACTGCAACAAAGCCTAAAGAGCGGTTAAATGAAAACAAAGATGGCAGATAATTAATTGTAACTATTTCTTTTTCTATTTCAGACCTGATGGACACCAGAATAATCTGAGGAGTGCTGCATATGAGGCACTGATGGAAATTGTGAAAAACAGTGCCAAAGACTGTTATCCTGCTGTCCAGAAGACAACTTTAGTAATTATGGAACGGCTACAACAGGTGCTGCAGATGGAGGTAGGTAGGTTGGTAGAAATGTCTTCATGCTGGATATACAGGTGCTCAATATATGGATAGTTGTCTAAGAACGTAAGTTTTCAACAGGTTTTTGTATTTGACTTTACAAAATTCACATGAAAGCTGGTGGAGGATGTGGATTGCTTCTAGGTTTAAGGTAAAGGTAAAGGTTCCCCTTGACATTTTAGTCTAGTCGTGTCTGCTCTAGGGCGTGGTGCTCATCCCCGTTTCCAAGCTGTAGAGCCAGCGTTTGTCCATAGACAGTGGCCAGCGTGACTAGACATGGAACACCATTACCTTCTCACCGTGGTGGTACCTATTTATCTTTGCATGCTTTCGAACTTCTAGGTTTAGCATAGGTTTATTGAAGGCAATAAACCTATGCTAAACCTAGAAGTTCAAAAGCATGCAAATGTCTTCTTTGGGGGCTTTTCAGGTGGTCCTCTAGGGTTCTTATACAATTATTATTGCTGTTAAGTCCATGGCTAGACATGATTTATAGGTATCGGTCAGGTTTTGGCTGTATTAAAGATTTCAGAGTATGTTTTGAATAATGAAGACTTTTTTTCTTCAGTCCCATATCCAGAGCACATCAGACAGAATCCAGTTCAATGATCTTCAGTCTTTGTTGTGTGCCACTTTACAGGTAAACACTTGTTCTTTAGTATCTTGCTTGCATTTTCAGGTCATGCCGAAAGTATTTAACATGAAGACTAGTGAGCAAAGTTGAGAGGGAGGCTGGTTTGGGTTTTATTCTAAGATACACAAGGAATGGTATTTCAGCTTAAATTTTGGTTTATTTTTTCATTTGTGGTCTCTAAAAAGGGTATTGAAGTATGAAGCATAACAAAACGAGATTGTGAGCAGTAAGTTGGGTGTATATGTCCTTTGTCTAAATACTGGCTCAACCCATGAATTACAAGGTAGAAAAAGAGGCTGTGAGAAGTAATCATCATAACTATTTTCAGTCTATTAGATTTTAAAGCCAGTCCTACCAGTGGGATGAAATTACCAAATTACCACCATTCCTCCTGGTATAGAGAGTTGCATCATAAGGTCAGATACTGAACCAGCCAAGATCCAGTTCAATTCTAAAATCAAGTTGCCTAGCAAACCTATTATAGTGGAGGAAGGATGCGTTCCAGTTTGAAAACTGGCAAGTACCCTTTCTGATCAAAACAAGCTTGTTTATAGATACATTTCAGCTGCAGAATGGGAAGTGGCTATCAGAAAGGAGAAAAGTAATCCAACAGAACTGTGCTCATCAACATTCACTTTTCTCTCCCAAATGCAGAATGTCCTTCGTAAAGTGCAGCATCAGGATGCTCTCCAGATTTCGGATGTGGTGATGGCATCTCTTCTGAGGATGTTCCAAAGTACAGCAGGATCGGGAGGTGTCCAAGAGGATGCCCTCATGGCTGTCAGCACCCTGGTGGAAGGTCAGCGCTTTACTCTGTACAGAAGTGGCCAGAGAGGGAATGGTTCTGAAGCACTATGTAAACTTGAGGATTGTTAGATGTTCCACAGTCTCTTTTCTATTCAGCTGCAAATATAATGGTGCCATTTCGGTATCTATATTTAGTATAGAAAAATATAAATCAGTGGAGACTATCGGAGTGAGAAGTGATTAGGTTATAGCTGTTGAGAAAAAACTGTTTGACTATCAGAAAATTTGGCTGCATTTTAATTGATTGGATTGCTATTTGTTCATTAAAGAATAATAAATAGTTTGAAATAGGCAGGAAGGAAATATCATCTTGATTAAGATCCAGGCGTAAATGTCTTACATTTGTTTTGGATTATAATCCCCACAGTCCCTGATGGGGTGACTGGGTTGGAATACAAAGCATCTACAGGCCAATGGTTCTGCATTCTTGCTGAAAAGCAATAAGTATTTGTATAGAAAGAGGATATACTGAGAAATGAATCTGAAAAGCCATAGTATTGGGAGGTGTCTCTGTAAGAGGCAACAGAAATGGGATTGGTTCCTCTTATTCTTCAGCAAAGCTTTACATCAGAGATGAGGTGGATATAACAAGGGTTTACTCTGTTCACTGTTCACTCACTCTTCCACTGTTGCCACTGGCTACGTACTCCCTTCCAATCACTCTAGAGTTCATGCCCAACTAGCCACTCCTGGCAGAAGGAGGGAAGATGAGCTTCCCTGCCAGGCTGACGAGTGGCTAGTCAACAGTGAGCTCTGGAGTGATTGGAAAGGAGCTCAGAACCAGCTGCAACAGTAGATGGGTGAATCAACAGTCTGGCCCCAGGGGACCGGACCCTCGTTATGTCCACTTGTGCAGGGCTATTCATATATGAATACTCCATCTCTGCATTGTTAAGCAGTCTAGATTACTCTGCTGATTATAATATATAGCATCACATAATAAATGGCTGGATTACATGACTCTCCAATTGGATGCTTTGGTAGCCAGCCAAAATGTATGGGTGCTGTTAATTGTTCCCTTTCCTAAAGGTTGGAACTGCTGGGTTTCATCTCTGGCCACATTTTTAAAGCATTTGGCATCTTCGAGGAGTCACACCTCTTCTTTTTGAATGATTTTTCCCCAGAAGCCAGGACTGGATGTCAGGGTCTGCAGAAACGAGGGAAGGAGGGACCTGCAGGCCTCAAGTTGGTTACTTCTTCTTTAAACAAGTTAATTTTAGCCAGTACCATTAGACACAGAATCCTATTCATGGAGGTTTTGTGGCGTAAACCAGATGAAGTCATCAGCCAGATGTTTTTTAAAATTAAACATGCCCTCTCCTGTCACAGAGCTCCTATGGACCCATAGTAATCATTTTCATCATCAGGAATCTTTGAGGGCCTATTGATGGGAGGAAAAATCTTTCATTATCAAGAATTGCCAATAACACTCCTCCAGAAAAATTGCTGTAGGGGCCTTGAAACAGGACAGGAAATGTTTAATTTTCAAAAATGCTCCATCTGATGACATCATCAATCTAGTGCTACAGAACCTACACAAACAGGATTTCAGGCATTATTTTAGGAGCTGATATGTTTGGGACAGATGTTTCCCAAACCTGCTTTCTAAAAATGTAAGAACAAGAACTTAAACAGGAAAGTTATGTGGGAGGAAGATGTTCTTTGTCGTCTTTGTGACTCACACCACTGGGCTTCTACATGTGCAGAAAAGATCCCAAATACTCCAGAGTGGAGAAACTTCTGGCAGTAGCCCTGGCCATGCCCTCCTGTGCTCATCTAGAACGAAGGGTATTGTGGGGGGGGCATTAGAAGTGGTAAAAGTATAGGAAGAGAAAGAGTTAGGCAGATCTTTACTTCATCTCCATTCCTGCTTCTCAATTCCTGGAGATTTTTTTTAATGTTATGCATGCATGCATGCATATTTGTCTTACACATTGTATGTAGGTGAAGTGAGTTCATGGATTTATTTATTTTATTATGTATGTACTAAACTTACATCTTGGCTCTTTGCTAAATAGTACTTTAAAAATATACAGATAAAGTACATAATTTTCATTCCATCAATTTTAAAACTATGAAAAGTCATTGACAGAGAAGTGGCACACACCAGATAAAACTTATTTCAGTGCAGAAGCTAGTGTATCCAAAAACTAGGCTGATTAAAATGTATTTGACAGAAGGACAGATTCAGCTTAAAACTTTCCTGGGCTATGCCACTTAAGGCAGGAGATAGGAAATTGGTATGCCCCCAGCCCCCAAAAGAACACAAAACTCCACTTTGATCTGAAAAGAAAGCTAGTGTATGATACAGAAGGCAAAGTTGACAGTCTTCTCTTTGCCATGATTGTTTTGTGTACCCAGCGTAGTTCTGAAACTTCCAGCTACAGCACTGATTTCTGACTATTTACCTTCCTGGTGCTGCATTTGTTACATGTGGAATGTTAGAACACTTTGCCAAGAACTCATAAGAGCCATACTTTAGCTGGGAAATCAGCTACGAAATTGACTTCTCAAGTTTAGGCCGAAACACTTTGGTAGATATGCACTGTCATAGCACAGTTGGAAATTTCTTTTGACAGACTTGTTTTCAGAGGTGGTGTCTAAAAATTTAATTGAAGAATTTGTAAAAATAAATTGAAAATGTGAACCACTTCTGATGATAGAGCACGCAGATACAATGGACAGTTTGGATACTCTCATAGACCTCTTTCCCCACATATACATCACTTCCATCAATTTTAAAACTAACCAGTTAATGTTTGCCTTTGTATTGGTATTTTTTCTTCATGGTCTCTGTGAGTCACATTAATGGATTTGTTCTGCACCTCCACAGATATCCCTTGAATTTTCCAGAAAAGAGTTGTTAAACCCACCCCTAGCACTTAGCTCTTGCTCCTCCACTCCACATTCTGAAAAACATTGGTGCTTTAACCCAGTCTCGATCACTATCCTCAGAATTGGAGGATATCTAACTATTGTTTTCAGGAAATCTCTGAACAAACAGGCTGACCAGATGGACAAAACCAAGTCAAAGTCCCCAATCCCAAAAACTATCAAAATTGAGAAGAACCAGAAACTCATAACGTTGGGGCCTCTAGCACACAACGCATGGCCCAGAAATACTCTTAATGTCAAGACAGTTTTGATTGCCCTAAGAACTAAATCACATAAACGTCACTCACCAGATCCCAGCTTGGCATCTTTGACATCAAAAAGAACTGGATCCCACAAAGAAAATAATCATTCATAGGATTCCCTCTCAAAACCGAAGTCACAATCTCAACGTGCAGAGCCAAAGGAGAAGACACAACAGAAAAAGACAAGCAAATTCGGAAAGATAGTCAACACTAAAGTATACCTACTTACCTATCCTCCATTCTCTAAACCTAGGAAAGAAAAGAAACAAACCAGGAATGAAAATCTTCAAATGTTGAGATTGACAGTATTTCCTCCCCAGAATCACCATCATTTATGGAACCATCTCAGGACTCAAGTGTTGCTGATAACAACCTTCCCTCACCATCAGATGACATCAGGTCCTTCACAGACCTGATTAGGATGGCAGGGTCCCTGCAAATGGAAGTCCAGGGATCTCCTCTTCCTACTTCCTATCCTGCCTACGCAAAGGTTCAAAAGAGCGTCGCCACCCCAGTCCATATAGCCATTCTGCCATCATTAATAGACTGGGTGAAAGAATTATGAGAAAAATGATCAGTTTTCTCCTAGACATTAAGAAGGGTTGAAAAATTAAACAAAATACAAAACCGGCTTCAGATAAAGAAGTGGGTTTTCTATTCAGACATTCACAACCAATGTTTCCGTAAAGCCTCCCTGCACACAGCTGTCTTCCTGCTCCGCACAGCAATCATGTTAGGTTCTGGTCGCAGTGGAACCCAGCATATGTGGACTCCACACACCCCTGCACAGCAGGGGCTGAAAATTAGAGGGTATGTTGTCCACAACCCAATTCAATTGTTTTCAGAGCATCCCAAACAAGATCTAAGGGACAAAATATAATGACATACATAACGAAAGAAGGCAGGAAAATGGATGCCACCGGCCACAGAATATACTCAACATCTTCCTTAGGAATCCAGGTTGCAAATTATCAGGCAGCCATGACAACGTATCATCTTTTTTCTCTGGGAGAAGATAAAGAGCATTGAAAAATCCTTCCAGCAAGAAGCTGCTACTCGTCAGATGTATTCAGATTGTCGCTCTACAGATTGTGCAGCAAAAGAAACTTGTTAGCAGTGGTAACACTATGATGTTATGCTTAGCTAAGATCTTCTAGATTAACTGATGATTCAAAGGCACAAATTGAGGATGTGCTGTATGATGGCTTGTTTAATGATAGAACAGATGATGTCATGGATAAACTATTCAAAAAGAGAAATATGCAAATGGGTTTCTTTGCCCCTCAGCCATATTATGAACAACATAAACAATATCGACCTTTCTAGAGATGGTACTACCAGTAAGCTCCTTCACAGCTCAGCCCTACAAACAGTTGACGAAACCAACAAAACTCTGGTCTTCAAGCACATCCAAAAAATTTGAAATTAAAATCAAACAGCACTTTCCTCCCAGCCAAGATCTGGACCATCACACAGACTTCCCAGTACTAACCATCAAACACCCTAGTGCCATATATCTCGCACTATTACAAATGACAGTTGAGTATTATGCATTGTGACCTATGCCTACGCAACAGAGTTTTATATTCTCACTTAAACAGGACACTTCAAGATACCTCACATTCTGCAGGAAAAGATTCAGATGTGTTGCGTCCGTAGCTGCATGCCTCAGACTGATATCAGCATCTTCCAACTGATACATTAATAATTGGCTGGTAGTCACAGATTCAAAGGCAACAGCAGAAATGCTTGCAAACTTCACAGTAAGAGTTCTGTCAGATCTTGGCCTGAGGGTAAACCTTAACAAGTCACATTTGAAACCTACATGTGTGGCCTGGTATATAAGTGCTGTTTTGAACTCAAGAACAGTGAGGCCCTATTTACCACATGAAAAGATTCTGAAAATCACTCAGCTTGTCAAAAAACTGCATAAAGGTCCTAGTGATAGCACCCACAGCTCAAAAGTTACTCAGCGACATGGCCTCAACTCTCAACCACCATCAAAGCTAAAAATGAGGTCCCTACAAGTATGGTTCCTGTCAACATTCCATAGTGACAAAGACAGCAACTAAAACTCCAGGTAACTCCAAAATTAGCAGGACAGCTTCCCTGGTGGTCCAGCATACAAAATCAATAGATGTGGATACCCTTTAAATCAATGTAGCCTTCAGTCTCTATAACAGATGCATGCTTGTCGGGATGAGGTGCACATTTTGAAGACAAATCCATACTTTGTGGACACACATAAGAGATAAACATGTTAGAAATGATAGCAGCCATAAAAGCCTTCAAAACCTTTGAGCCATTTCTTTGGGGAAAGGTGGTACAGATTAGCCAGAGACAACTCTGAACGTTTTAAATGAAGAAGCAAGGAGGCACACATTTCTTGGCTTTTCTGTACCTCTCTATCCTACTGTGAGAATGATGTATTCAACTACCCAATTTTGACCCCTGTTGCTGGAAAGGATAACCAGATAATAGACCCACTGAGCTGGCACAGCACACAAATGCCTGAGTAGGAACTAGAGATGGGGTATTTGTATACGAATACAAATACCCCCGCAAAGGTAGAATTAATGAGGATCTGGCCCCCTGGGGCTGGACTGTCCACTCACCCTTCCACTGCTGCTGCGGGCTCCACACCCCCTTCCTATCCAGAGTTCACAGTCAACTAACCACTCTTCAACCTGGCAGGGAGGCTCATTGTCCCGCCTCCTGCCAGGACTGGCTAGTCAACTATGAGTTCCGGAGCGATAGGACGGGAGCGCAGAGCCCGTGGCAGTGGAATGTCCACCTATGCCCATCTCTAATAGGAGCAATCCCTTCTGATATTCCAAGACACACAACTCCTGGGGCTCACCACATATAGACCAGTTTGCAACAAAGAACAACACATGTTAAATTCTATTCCTAGACTTCCCACAGAATAGTCTCTGAGAGTCTCGATGAAATAAGAGTAATCTCCCTCTTCCCTCCCTTTCCAATACTAAACAGAATAGCTTTGAAGCTACGTCAGAAAAAGATGAATACAATAATTGTAACACTCGGTGGCCTCGTGAACCATGATTCACAGCTCTCCTTCACATGGTGAATAACATCTACCGCCTGCCTATGAAGCCAGATCTAATAGCACAGCGCAACAATTCACCACCCCACCTCAAAAAACAAACTCACAGCATGGAGGATCCTAGTTGAAGCCAAGAAGCCCTTCACAAGAAAAGCCTATAAATAGAAGTGGAACAAGTTTGTCACATTTGCTAATTTGCTCGAGGAAGACTATCATCCCCCATTGTTACATGTGGTCCTATGCTTCCCTTGCACTTGAAAGAAAGCAGACTGTTATAATCCTCCTTGAAGATCCACCTCTCCGACATTACACCAAACCAAAAAGCTAGGTTCACTGGAATCACATTTTTTAAAAAAAACCATGAAGAGATTCCCAAAGTCATACAAAACTTCCATCCGGATAGTAAAATGCCTTTATCTCAGTGGTCTTTGCCTCTCCATCAGATGATAAAGCATCCATTTGAACTGCTAACATACACAAGGTGGTATTATTGGTGTTTTGCATTGTGTATTGCATTGTGATTTCCTCTTTCTTCAATTCTTTAGAGATAAGGTGAATCTTACAGCAGATGTGTCTTTCAAAAATTGTGACAGATCTCCACATCAACCAATTTCTAATGTTGCCAACCTTGTTTCCTGTCTATACTAGAGACTTGGAGAAAACATTACACATATTAAATACTTGCAGGACACTAGCTTTCTATGTGTCAAGGACAAAATCTTTTGGGAAAACTAATAGATTATTCCTCTGCTACCAAGTAAATTAGCTGGGAAATAATTTTTCTTCTCAATGAATATCCAGCTGGTTTGTAAATGTCATTACCTTGTTTCTGCCAGTTGTCAATCACCCATTGGTGTGAATCTCAAGAGACCACGAGGAAAGATAGGTTACTTAACCTGTAACTGTAGTACTTCAAGTGGTCAACAGTGAATTCACACAACCTTGTCTCTGCCACACATTTGCATTTGATTCAGCAGTGGATATAGGAACTGAGTGTTAACCATGGAGGAGCATGTGCTAGCAACTTTTTTCTAGATTCTGGAAGATTCTGAGGATATCTGGACAGACAGAACAAACCAATTAGTGTGAATTCAGAGATGACTATTCAAAGAACTACAGTCACAGGTAAGTAGCCTGTCCTTTTACTGCTAGTAAGTGCCAAACCATCCTGCAGCCGTGTTTGAAAAAAGAACTGTTTATTGTGGTCTAATGAAAGTTATGGTCAGTAAAAATGCTATTCCGATGTAACATTAAATATTACTAGTTTTGAAAAGAAAAGCAGTGGTTCCCAAACATGAGACTCCAGATTCTTAGACTACAACTTCTGGAAATGCTGACCATTGGATGGCCTGGCTAGAGTTAATGGAATTTGTAGTCAAAGGACATCTGGGCCCAAAGTTTGGGAGCCATTGTGTTAGTGGGGAGAAAGAGAACCATATGAGTCTGTGGGGTGCTCCCAGTTTTTTAAGGAAGTTGGGGATCTTTGACAGTATGTTATCTACAGGATGCATCAACATGACCTTAGAAAAGTCACTTCTTGCTCTTGGCATGATGTAAAATGGGCAGGGGGAGCATGGTTGACCTCACCAGGTTCTTTTAGGTCAGCATGATATGCCAGGTTTTGTAAAATACAGTATGCCATGTGAGCATCCTTAACTTGGTATTGTAAGATATCTTAATTGCTTTAATTTAGTTACCCAAGTTACAAACATGAAAACCTGGTATTTTAAATGTATTTATTTAAAGTATATAAAACCATGCATGTTCCTCTCCCTTTCTATTCTGCACAGTGTTAGGGGGAGAGTTTCTTAAATACATGGATGCCTTCAAACCTTTCCTGAGCATTGGATTGAAGAACTATGCTGAGTACCAGGTAAGGCCATCTTTTAATTCTGATAAATTGTTTGGATTTGATATTACTGCCTTCAGTTTGTATTTCTGTACAGCTGTTTTATAATCTGGATTCCATTGATTAATCTAGGATAGTGTTTCACAACTTTGTATCCTGTACTCCGCCAATCAAACTGAAAATCCCAAGTGAGTCTTTTTCTGAGAAATATACTTACATTGTACAGAAAAAAATAGCTTCATCTTCTGTAGAAAGAAACAAAATTCTGGGTTAGCTAGTATATTTATTGGATTCAAAAAAATACAAACAAGGTGGTGAGCTTTCAAATTCTTTAGAACTTTTCTTCAGACTTTGATGGTGTAAAATTTGGGGAATAGGCAAAGAAATAAGAAGTCTGGAAAAACAGGCCATTGTGCTTGGATTAAGGCAATAGGAAAAGTACATATGGTATAACCCAACCAAAAATTGTATTTCTATTCATGGATTATATAGTTACTTTTTAAATTTGTTGTAGGAAATAGTCACTTTGCAGGGACTGGTTCTACTGTCAGAGGAAGATATTTTTCACAGAAAACATTTCTGTGGGAATGCCATTTCCTCCAATCAGTATGTGTGATTACATAGTGATTTAATTAACTTTTTAACCCATCTATGATGCTTAAATTTGATCTCCTGTTCTACTCATACAAAGACTACTTTATAGCTACATGTTTTTCTGCTATAAGCCTGTGTACCCTTTTCAAACAATGTACTGATCTGTAGGGTTCTGAGCCACGTGTTCAACTACAGAGAAGGGAGAGAGTTTAAATGGGTACCTCAGTTTTTCACTAATGCAAAAATCTCCATTTTCCCTTGCAACCACTTTCCCCCCATTATTTATAACCAGGGTTGATAGAAAACAATTATGATTTTTTAAATATCAAATTGATTTAAATCAAATTTTATATTAAAAATCTATTTTTATATTTGAATAATCAAAATTGATTTGTTTATTAAAATCATGATTTAAACTAATCTGATTTAAATCAGACCCACCTTCTTTATAACAGTTACACCTGGCCTAACTTTCTGAAGTTTTTACCGTATTTGCCGGCATATCAGACAACTGGGTGTATAAGACGACCCCCCAACATTCCCACTCAAAATATAGAGTTTGTTATATACTCGCCGTATAAGACTCCCCCCTCTTCTGCCCACCTTCCACACCAAATAAAAAGTGCTATTCATTGTCACCATTGTACAGCCGCAGCACGGCCGCAGCACCTCCGGCCCGCCCCTGCATCTCCCTGTGACCAGTACTAGTGCGCAAGTGCACATGTGTGAGCTCTGTGTAGACAAGGGGCGGGCCGGAGCACCGCTGCTTCCTGCCGAGCAGAACGGGCCGGTCACGTAGAAAAGGCTGGCACCCCTATCTCGCTGCTGAAGCCATTCCTTAAATATCTTACTTAATCTTGAAAGCTCTGTTCCAGAAGGCTTTTAATTGAAATAATATCAACTATGGGTTCTGATGACAATTTTTAGAGTATCTATTTTAATTGTTTTATCTTTTTATTGTATTTTAATTGTAAGCCGCCCAGAGACCTTTGGATAGAGTGGGTGGCATATAAGTTAAATAAATAAATATTGGGGTCATTATAAGTCAGTTCCAACTTAACAACACACACCAACCAACAACCAAGCATGAAAAGGAGTTCTGGAAAACTAAAAACACTTGAATTTTTAAAATTGTGAGTGATCTAAAATAATCATTATCCAGTCCAGAGTTTGGTATGTTTTATGCATTCTGTTATATTTATAATTGGCTTTTTGAGTTGTGATCAGGAAGAACAGGGGGTTAGGAAAAGCTCTTAGTGTCAAAAATTACTACTATCATACTGAAAAGTCAGGTGAATAATGCAAGGCAGGTTGACAGGAAGCAGTGTGTCATACTTGCAAGAGGCCATGGGGAATTCAGGAAGAATACAGTGGTGCCTCGCTTAACGATTTTAATTGGTTCCATAAAAACATCGCTATGGGAAAACATCGCTAAGCGAAACACGTTTTCCCATAGAGATGCATTGAAAACCGGATAATCCGTTCCAATAGGAACGGATTGCTGTCCTTAAGCGAAAATCGCCATAGGAAACATCACTAAGCGATACAATGTTTCCCCCATTGGAATGCATTGAAGCCTACTCAATGCATTTCAATGGTTTTGCGATGTCCGTTTTCGCTATTTTTAAAGTGTCTTAAAATGTTCAAAAACTGTTTTAAATGCTTGGAATCGTTAGTGCACCTTCTAAAACGTGTGCAAATTTAATTTAGCTTTTTTCTCAGTCTTCGTTAATTTTTGGTGAATTTTTCCCCCCATTGAAATGCATTGAACCTACTGTAAGTTTGACAGCTGTCAAACAGGCACTTCAATGCATTCCAATGGGGGAGAAAAAAATTCACCAAAAATTAACGAAGACTCAGAACAAAGCCAAATTAAGTTTGCACACGTTTTAGAAGGCGCACTAACGATTCCAAGCATTTAAAACAGTTTTTGAACATTTTAAGACACTTTTAAAATTGCAAAAACGGACATTGTTAAGCGAAACAGGGGACCTAAAATGCATTCGCTATGCGAAGCATGGTCCCAAAATAGCTAATCACCCATAGGAAACATCGTTAAACGATGCGGAAAATTCTTTTAAAAAACCCATCGTTAAGCGAATACATCGTTAAATGAAGCAATCGCTAAGCGAGGCACCACTGTACATGTATGACTGTTTGAAAACTAGTGGACAAAGCATTGTTCTAAAAAAAGGGTATACAAAATACCACTCTTCAAATGTAGCCAGACTATACGTCTCAGCATTTATCACCATTGGCTCTAGTAGATGGGATTGACAGATGTTGCAATTCAGCACTTTTGTCATTTCCCCACTGAAACTTTGCTTCTGGTGTTGTCCTGCTCCAAATTAATGGAACTCACTACATTTAACAACAGGACCTTAGCCAGAGTTTATGGAGGATTGAGAAATGAGGTATTGATATGGGGTGGCTATTTCCTTGTGGAGATAGTTGCCTTCTCTTTGGAATTTAGCTCAGAAGTTGGCATATCACCAAATCCGGCTCTAGTGTGAAGGTGTTGTGTTTCTACTAAATTGTTAGCAAGTTGATTCCTAGCTATTTTTTGTTCCCCCCCAAAAATGTTTTGTCTCCTTTTCTTGCTACATGTTAATATCTACTAAATGGTTAACAGAAGCTATGACTCTTCTCAAGCACGTCACCATCGAACCATTGCTGGCTTTATTTAGCGTTTTAATGGGACACGAATGTAATGATCATTGCTGCAGGGGGCGAAAAATGACTCATGCCTTGGGTGGGTGTTATAACTTGATGCATTTCTCCTCACAGGTCTGTTTGGCTGCAGTGGGTCTAGTGGGTGACTTGTGCCGAGCTCTGCAATCCAACATTCTGCCTTTCTGTGATGAGGTTATGCAGCTGCTCTTAGAAAACTTAGGGGTGAGTGAACTGTTCAAAAAGGAAAGCAGATTGAGAAAAGAGCTGGAAATTAGAGAAGAAATGTTCTATGTGAAACTTGGAGGCTCCCTCATGGTGGAAAACCCATGGGGAAAACATCTACTGTCTATAATAGCTGGTGTATTGGCAAGGTACCAGCAGGCAAGAAGTATAAGCAAGAAGCACACTTAATTAAAGCAGAAATGTCTTAGTGTTATGTGAGTTTCCTTAGAATGATGTCACTGTACACATAGCATTTTGCTCTTCTTTTTCTCCTCCCCTCACTCTTAAGTAAATTTCATTGGCAGTAGGCTGATAGATTTAATGTAGGTCAAATGTAACAACTGTTGGGGGAAATGTCAGCTTGTTCCCTTGTGATGAATAGTACTGCAGTCCTTGAGAAGATTACTCTTAGTTTGCCAAAACTGAGCAGACAAAGAGAAGGAAACAAGAATAAAATGTGTCCTGTTGTTAGGATCAGTATATGGAATGGCAAACAGCAAAGCTACTTGCAGTGTGATGTGAGTGGATAGTGTTGGTTTTGCACTGGAGCTACTTGGGTTCAAATATTGTTCAGTTAGGAAGCTCATTAAGATAGCCCCACAGTACAACAGCAAAATGTTTGACAGTCTTATAGTGTGATTGCTAAGGGATAAACGTCCTGTTTGAATAAAATCAATCACCTGTGTTCACAGAATGAAAATGTGCATCGATCTGTAAAACCCCAGATTCTCTCTGTGTTTGGAGACATTGCTCTTGCTATTGGAGGAGAGTTTAAGAAATATTTAGAAGTTGTACTCAATACCCTTCAGCAAGCATCTCAAGCCCAAGTTGATAAGGTAAGACTCGGAAACCTGGGTAGTTGCACAGATGTGTGGATGCTGGCAGTAGCCAAGTCTTCTGGCAGTAATTCCATGGGCCCCATTTGTCAAACAACCAAGAGCAAACTTTTGGAACAACCGGAATTCCTTCCGGGAGCTTTCTGAAGGGTTAGGTTCCCTGCAATAACCTTCCAGGAAATGTCCTTTCAAGAGAGTCCCCTGTTAAAGCTACAGGGCACCCTGAGAGTCCTGGTCTTTGAAAGTGGAAGGGGAGAATGAGTCTCAGGCTTCACTGGAGACTTTTCAAGAACAGCTGTGATAGAGCTGGGTAGGGGATACTGATGCCCGCACCTCCTGGAGCTTCCTCTGTCACTTGTGCTGTTGTTTTCATTGCCAATACTACAGCTTGGTCAGAGTAGGTGATGCTGCTCCTGTTGGTTGATGCAGGCACCAAGGTTGTGTCAAAGGTGCAATAGGCTCTTGGAGTCTTGGCCCCAGGATCCCTTGTCTGTGGCCCCTTCCTCTATCCAACAGGTGGGGTGAGGGGACATTTGCTGGGGACTCCTCTTCCCAGTCACTGTCCACACCAGCTGAGGCACAGAACTGGCAGTCCCAAGCCTCACCAGCCTCTTCCCATGTCTCCATCTCCCCCTCCATTTCCCTGAAGGAAGCCTCCACGTCCTCCCAATCTTCCTTCTTTATGCCAGCCTCTGCTTTGCCCTCTTCCCCTCACTGGTGGTCTTCATCAGCCAGCTTCCTTGCTTGCACCTGCCATCCTATCCACTTCCCTACTGGGGTCCCAGAAACTATAGCCTAAGACAGCTCTCCCTGAGTGACCCCTTCAAAGTTTCTCACTACCAGATTGACTCTTGCTTATGTTTTGCCGTAGTCTGATTATGACATGGTAGACTACCTGAATGAACTGCGAGAGGGCTGTTTGGAAGCATATACAGGCATCATCCAAGGACTGAAAGGCGATCAAGAGAATGTGCATCGTGAGTACACACATATATATGTATACACATACATGTACAAGATTGCATGACATTCTGAGGAAGGCCTCTAATTTCTTGCAACATTTGATACTGCTCTTGGTTAAGGGGAGGAGGGTGAAGATCCTTGGTTCAGGTCTCTAAATGTTTTTGCCTTTATATCGAGTGCATAGTGGATTTTTCTTAATTACTGCTTGTTTTGTTTTTTGCCTTGAGGTGGACCTATCGTTAAGTGACCTACTTTTAAATATCTGGTCAGGAGCCACTAGATGGCCTCTGGGCCACTTTCCTACCATCTTTTTAAAAGATTGCTTCCAAGAGTTATTGTATAGCCTTGTGCATTTCTTAAAACAAAGGCTCCTACAGTGAAGAAGTGGGAAGACAGTCTTCGCTTAGGATCACAAGCTGCTACGTCTGCATTATATTTATGCACATGTGTTTCTTTTAAAAAGCTATTAAATGTTTATCTTGGGAGGCCAGCTGGTTGTGTGTTTGTGCATGTAAGGGTAATCTAACATGATGCATTATTTTAAAAGCACAAGTTTTAGGAAGTCAGCAGCCACAGAGGAGATGTGGAATCAATGGCATGGTGACTGGGGGGGGGGGGAGGACAGCAGTTTTGTAGGCCTTTTCTGAACAATGCAAAGAGAAACATGTTTATCTAGAATATAAATAGTAGCTGGGTTTTTAAATATCACCAAGCAGGAAATAGCTAGGTAAACAGCCTTTAAAATTGAATCTTGCTTCCCTTTCAGCGGATGTAATGCTGGTGCAGCCCAGAGTAGAATTCATCTTGTCTTTCATTGACCATATTGCTGCGGATGAAGATCATACTGATGGTGTCGTAGCCTGTGCAGCTGGGCTGATAGGGTAAATGATGCACCTCTATGTGCTCTGATAGGAGGTAGCTTTAAATTGCCACTTTGAGGCTCAGGTATGAGACAGGTGAACGCTGTACAACCACCAAGCACCAAACAATAACTAAATAATAGTAATAAACCAACAGTCAAACTGCACTGAAATGTTTTTTAAAAGCAATTGAAATAAACCACCACCAGCATCCTAACTCTCTCAATGAATGTTGAAAAGAGCTTTTTGTTTCTTTGAGTATGCACATGATGTTAATTCCATAGTCTTGAGTAACTTGAGTAGAAATGTCCTTGCTTGGAGGTAATCTCCAATGGACCCTCTTTCCAGAGAAAGCTGTAGAAAGAAGCTCCTTATTTATTTCAAAGTGCCAACACTGCAGTTAAACTTGAATACTGAAGTTTTAGTTTAGAAAATCTATTGCCCCTGCCCTGCAAGGGTTAAATGCTTATTTCCTTTTATAGGGGCAATATTAAAAGAGGAATACTTACCCATCCCTTGTTGGGCTAGACTGGTACTGGCCACCATTGCACCCCTCTGCTGGACTACTGCACCAGCCGAGGGGAGTGCCAAAATCCAGGGTCGGAGGATGGGTAAGTCTTTCTTGATGGTGATTTGTGGCTCGCGTGCCCACAGAGAGGGCTGTGGGTGCCAGCTGTGGCACACATGCCATAGGTTCACCATCACTGCTCTAAAGGAATTAAGTAAAAACTAGCACCGTTTGCTTTGAAATTCAAAAAGAATTGCAAAACTCACACCACTAGAGGAGGATCAGTACAATCTGTTTGTGTCTTTCCACAATATTTCTGCAGTAGTTCCTTAAGGCTGGTGATTGGAGAAGCTTTACTGAGCTGGGAAACTTAGTGATTTCTCTTGGTACTCTTGATTCTCACAGGGATTTGTGCACAGCGTTTGGGAAAGATGTCCTCAAATTGGTAGAAGCTAGACCTATGATACATGAATTGCTAACTGAAGGAAGGAGGTCAAAGACGAACAAAACAAAAACTCTTGCTACCTGGGCCACTAAAGAGCTTAGAAAACTGAAGAATCAAGCTTGGTAAGCAGATTTGCCTCTTTAATTTGCCTCAGAATAACTTAGTTCCTATGCAGCTTGCATTACAAAATCAGAATGCCGGTCTCGGACCTTTTCTGATTTCAGTGAAGATTTCATTTTAGCTATTGAATAGTTTAGATTGGTGGTCTTATGATACCACCATGTAAGCTTTGTCTCTGATGCCATCCTGCTCCAAATAACAATTATCTTCTCGTTTTTTTCATTATTTGCTGGCTTTAAGAAATGCCATGCTAGATCAGACCAGAAAGCCTTTTCAAGCCAGTATTCCCTTCCCATATGAGTTGACCGGACATCAGTGCAAAGCCCATTTAAATTGTATTTTGATTCTGCCCAGAATTCTACAGTTGTTGCAGCATACTGGAAGTTTGTGTACTGCAGTACAGTATAATGTGTAAACATGTTCTTAAGTTTAAATGTTGCTATTTGTGAACTGAGCATCTTCAAAAGAGTATTTGTTGGGAACTCTATATATCTTCAGAGCTTGCTTGGAAGTTCCTCAGCATGAAAAAGAGCAATAGTGCATACATTTGATAGAAAAGCTGCTTTTCTTTATCAAGTGGTGCACTTACAAAGTGTTCCCAATAATTGCAGGAGACATATGCTCAGTGGATTGGCAACAAACTGCTGGAACCCTAGGCAGTTCTTTAGAATTCTGTGGAATGTGATGAGAGAGGCAAATCTGAGCAGAAAAAGGTTCCTTGGTGATGAAGAGCTTTGCAAACCACTGTAGCAATGAAATGTTCTTGTATTTGTTGTTAAAAGGCCTGCAAAATCCTCCCTCCTGCTTTTTTTGGGTGGTGTCCTCTTACTATTTTCCTTTTCTTCGCAGATCTGTTACCATTGGGACGACACCTGAGACCCCCACTGGAAATTTCCAATCAATTGAGGAAAAAAACCCAACCCGGAAGTGAGGAGTGTGCACGGATGCTGAGTGTTTGGGAATGAGAGGATGAGTGAGTGAGAGGCTTAAAACACACCACGGTGAAAATCCAGCCGCGGCAAATGGCAGCAGCGCTGTTAATGGAGTTAATCACTGACTTGCGTAGCAACAAAACTTGTCATCGCTTGCCTCCAGGAAGTGGAAAATGATTGATTTCCGTACCAATGCAGTCTCTTCAGACAAGAGACAAGGACTTACTTCTGTGTCTTTTGGCCAGTGAAGAGGGAGATGAATTAGTCTGGGAGAAAGGAAAGCTAGTTTCAGGTTCAGTTCTGAGTGCTCATATAATAAGGTCTGGCTTTCGTTGCTGGAGGGAAAGAAGAGGTGGAATCCTCAGCCCACCTCAGTCACCTTTCTGGGGAGGGGAGCTTTTGGCCGCACAACGCTGTCAGTGCACGAGAGAAACGGGAAGGGTGAAGGATTTTCTTTCCAGAGTGAGTGTGTGTGAATGAGGCGGTATCTACATTCTCAACTTTTAAGTCATTACAGTTAATCTTTCCCAAAAGAAATACTGAAGAGATTAGCAGTTGCATTTCATAAAACTAACAAGTTCAGTCTACTTGAAGTGACAGAGGAGTAAGAGAGTTCAAGGGGGGGGAGGGGGGGAGAGAAGCTGCTTTGCTTAGGGCTTCTTTAGGGAATTGCTGGTGGGATGTTCAAAGCTCCCGTCGTGACACTTTTTTCACGATCTTGTTTCATTAAAAAGCGCCTTTCCTTCCTGAATTTTGTTCAACTGTGAATGTAGAAACCAGGGGGTGGGGGTGGGGGGAGGTGGGAGCAGGTGTCCAGAAAAACTCTCACATGTTAATAGAGAGATTAGTATCCAGATTCTCCAAATGGGATATGAGGCTTTGGGGGGAGGAAAAACCCACGCAACTCTGCTCTAAATTGGCGACAAAAAACAAGCCCAAAAGGGACAAAGCCCCCTCTCTTGGCGTGAACAAAGTAGCCCAAACCACACACAACTGTGCCAAAGAGTTTAAAAGGAAACAAAGTCCAAACTAGGGGGAAACAACCTTCAGGAAATATTTTGGATTGCAAAATGAGGTTGAAATTCAAATGTTCAAAACAAAGCAAAAAAGATAAAAGTATGATTTGGAAACTGCTTGGCCTATTTGTTCTCTTTATTTGATTCTGATACGGTATTAGTCTTGCTGCACTTCAAAAAGGAAAATTTATATAAATATATATATACTGAAGCTTACACAGGATGGCACTTGTAAAAGGTTATATTTTTCCACTGCAGTTGAAGATTAATAAAATGGTGTCAAACATTCCCACCAGTACTACTTTTTTTCTATTGGTCTTTCCAGCAAACCGGAAATTTATCTCTTTTTTTTTTACCAAAAAGGAAAAAAAAGTAGCAGTTGGATGGGACAGCTGTGTGTTAGGGTCTACAGTATATCTGTTAAAATTCTGTATTGTTCCATAACTTTTAAAAACAATCCTTTTCCCTCATTTCTCAGTGGATGGGGAAAGGTAGCAGCTTTGTAACTTCAGGATTCTTAAAAGGAGGCAGGAGGGGATGAGATTCGCCTACTTCTAACTATGCAGCTTTTGATGCTTAGGGGCTTTTTAAGAGTTGGGTGCTTTCAAGCTTGCCTTGTCAGGTAGGAAATCTCATATCTTTCAAGAAGCATTTTTTTAAAAAAAAAGCCTCTCTCAAATCCTTTCTCTGCCTCCGCACTTTCTCAGGCTCATCCTGGGATCCTCTTTGATTGCCCATCCTCATTGGACAAGCAAGCAAATATGCCAGTTTCTTGTACAGGGTATCTGATGCGTGCCTTTCAGTGCCAGGTTCAGAGTTGCAGCCCCCAGTGCAGATTTCTCGAACCAGTGTACAGAGAAGACCAGGTGGTAAAGTGGGATGGTTCCAACATGAGTCTGAAAGATGGGCTTCTGATAAACCTGGGTCCACCTTTTCTTAATGCCTTTTTTCTTTGGGGTGGGGTTTTCTTTGAAAGACACCCACAAAACGAAAGCCATTCCTGAATTGGGGAGGGTGTGTGTGAAGAGGGAGATCTGATCATTCCTCAGTGCTACTGAACTCTGTCCAGTGTTGGCTGTTCAGCTGTAGGCTGCAGGTGAATAAAGTACACTGAGTTAGTAGTGGAAACCAAAATCTGTGTCCTATTTTTTTTCCTTTCTCGCTATCCTGTGCTGCCTGACTTCTAGAATGGCAGAGGCTGAGTACAACGCTAATCTCTGACTTATAAACAAACACCTTTCTCCTGAGCTGAGATATATGAGCCAGTTCCTGTTCTTCGAGGGGAGGGGTGGAAACACCCTGTTCCTCTTCCACAAAGGCATTTGTCAAGCTGCTGCAGTTCTTAGCACATACTCAGTGGCATAATACCACAGCAAGCTCCTGTACCTAAAGCATACACACCCCTCCAAATCCTTTCTGCATTTCAGGAGAAACAGTCAATTCTCGGGAAAACTCTAGGATGTCTTATAATTAATGGAATGCATCTAGAGGCTTGCAAATATCAGCTGTGTGTCACATTTCTATAAAGGGTATGTGCCTTGGCTGTGAGTAAGTAAAACTACTGAATGGCTGGAAATGGCTTTAAAACACTTTGTGGTCCAATTCATTGGGTATATAGAAAAACATTTTCTTAACTGCAGACAACATGGGATGGAAAAGGGATGCTCTTCATATAAGTCAGGAGTGGAAAACCAGTCTTGCAGACTGTGATGAAATGCAATTCCCTTCACACCACACCATTAGCTAGGACTAGCTGACAGGAGTTGGGGCTTACCAACATCTGGTGGTGTGTTCTCTAGTCCTTACAATAGATGTAACCATGCTGAAGGAATGTAGTTCATATTGCCCTGAGACAGTCCTTCCAAGCAATCACATGCAAGCGCAGCCTATCATATGCCTTGAAGTAAACTGCTTAGGAACAGGCTAAAGAAGTGAAGTTCTAGGCTTCATTTATAGCATTCATGCATTTTCACAGATCTTTTAAAGACAAGCCTATTTCTTTTAAGTGGCTCCTGGATAAGTCGCCACACAGGTGTGCTGCATCAGCATTTACTGTAAGAATGAAGAAATGTAGCCTTTTTTTAAAATTAAGGTATCTTGAACAGATGGACATGTGGGGGAGGCATCAGAGTATCTATCTTTCAACAAAAGGTTCCACAGTAGTAAACATGAAACCTGGAAATTAAAAAAATTAAAATTAGCATCAGTGATGTTTGTATTTGAGTGCTAATCTGCATGCAGTTCTTTGTGACCTTTTGACACATGGCAGCTACATGTGCTGGCTCTTGAGCTTGTATAGAAATTAATTAGAAGGGAGAATTTCCTTCATTCCAACACAGAATATTATAATGCTCCGTGGATTCTTCCATTAACCTCCCAACAAGCTAGTAATTACTATTATTTTGGCAGGGTTTCATAAGTGTTTAAAATGACTAAGCAGTATTCCATGTAGGAGCCCTTTAACTTCACAGCTTAGAAAAATTTGGCTGAAGTGTCACTTAAGCTTTGTGGAGATGAAAGTTAGGAATCTCTCCACAGAAAGTAGTCTCAGTTTTTGTAGCACTTGTGGATTTTTACCATTGCAACAAGAACATGTAAAAATTCACAAGCAAACAAGTTAGTGTCTGTCTTCAGGCGATGTTGGATTCCAGTACCCATCAGTTTAAGCCAGTTTAGGCTTTGTTGGTGGCCTGAGGGAGTTGGCAATCCAACACTTTTGGGGGGCCATACCTTCATCCCTAAATGTCTTCCTAAATGTAACCTGTAAAGTGGAGGGCATCTGAATTCAATTAATTAAAATACAGCCTGAGTAATACCTATAACATGGGAAATTGTAGTAACAATCTAGTAATGGTCCACAAATTGCATCCTCAGATGCCTATTATGTGGCCCTCATGTTACTGTTTGATGAAATTCACTCCCTTGCTGCTGCTGTTATGAAGATCTCTACATCTGACCCAAAGGCATTGGCAACATCCCCACGTTCCTATTATGCCACAGGGTCATCAAGATCTCTCTATCCTTAAGGCAGTGGTGAGGAGTCTTTCTAAATATTTAGTAAGTTGCAATAATTTTGTAATATCTTAGAAGCCATGGTGGCATAAGCTTTCATAGTCCATCCAATACATGGAGCATTACCAGATGGCAAAAACATAGACTTACAATCATAGTATTACTAGAAGGACAAGGAAATAGCTAGTGCAGCCCATCCCATTAGACAGAATGAGACATTTGCCACAGCTGCAGATGCTGGATAATGGGAAGGGGAGTAGTGGCATTAGCCCTCTGGATGCTCCTGTTGGAGAACAGAGGTGGGCCTTCCAGACAATCACCCCTGTTCCCACCTATTAGCCTCAGCTGAGAAGAAAGCTGCTACCCAATCATCCCTGAGGGAAGAGGTGACGGTCAGCTTATCTTCTCTATGTGGAACAGGAGATGCTATTTTGTGCTTTGCCTGAGCCAGGAAAAATGTCTTGGTCAAATGAGGCAGCAAAAATGCTTTTGGGCCGTGAGATTTTAATGTGGATACAAGCTGCTGTAAGTGGAGTTCTCTTCTGGCAATTCAGCAGGCTATTTAGGGACACTTGGGTCTCTTTCCTGCACTCTCCAGGGTAGCTGATTGCAGAAACCTGGATGTGTTCCGTGCTATCAAGTCAGAACCAACTTACAGCAACTATAATAGAGCTTTCAAGGTAAGTGAGAAATTTAAGGTTTTACCAGTTTCACTCCCCAAGTTAGTTCCCATGGCCAAGTAGGGACTAAAACCCTGTTCTCCAGAGTACTAGTCCATCACTCTATCCACTACACCAGTGGTTCTTAACCTTTGTTACTCGGATGTTTTTGAACTGCAACTCCCAGAAACCCCAGCCAGCACAGTTGGTGAAGGCTTCTGGGAGTTGCAGTCCAAAACTGAGTAACACAAGGTTAAGAACCAGTGCACTACACCACACTTGGTCTCTTTTCTGCACACTCCATGGTAGCTGATTGTCTGTGGAAACTTACCTCTACACAATGTTTGCTGTTCACACCATTTCACTGAAGGGTTATGCCCAAATTGAACCTACCAGTCCTTAACTTCTAAAAAGACAGGTAGTGGGGATCAGGCCTCCAAATGTTTTGAATTATATCTTCCCAAGGTATTTCACAATCAGCCATACTCAGAGATTTCAAGAAACCGAAGTCTAAAATGTTTGGAAGTCCAACATCTCCCTATCCCTGTTCTAGTTTAGTCCATACCATTTCTGATGGTGAAGGAGTGCTGTTTGTTGTAACATTTCTTTGTGGAACCACAAAATTTATGCTTGCTTTCCTGCTTTGGGGTGATTTAAGATGCCCTTGGGTCTTACAAAAACCACATCTATGGCCTTGACATTCCACTAAACCTTTGCAATATAGAACTTTCCTTGTATAAGAAATCTATAGTTGTCTTGATTATTTAGTATGTGAGGGATTTATTCTCCCCAATGCACCACTGAAGGTTTTTCTTAAGGAACCTATTGGTGATGGCCTTCTCAAGCAGACAAAATTCAAACTATTTACTTCCTTCATTTGTATCTTCCCATTCCTTAAGGTGACAGATGTAAATTAATATTGCTCTTTTGGGACTCATTAAAACCCTCTAAGACTTCAGTTTCCAAAGCATGGCTGACCCCAGGTTACTTGGGCTAGTATTCTACTTATTAACTGCTCCTCATTTATCATTTGCTTTTATAGTTGTAATTTACATTTTATTACCGCCTTCATTCATCCAAGGAGTTCGGCATATTCATGTTTCTCTTTCATGCCACTCATTTTATCCTCTCCATAGGCTTGTGAAGTAGGCAGACAAACAGGATGATTGGCTAAGCTTCCTGTCTTGAAACAGAATTTTAAACTTGAAGTTCATTGGATTGCTTTTTATATGAATCCTTGCATCGCATCGGCTCTCTTGTTTAAATATGAGTGTGAGTTCAGATCCAGGTTCAAGTTCAGTATTCATATCCATTACAAAAAAGGGTGGGCAATGTCCAGCTCTCCCAGTGTCACTGGACAGACTCAACCCAGACAATTATGAGGGATGATGAGACTTGGAAATCCAACAACAGCTGAAAATGGTGGTGAAAAAGGCTACCCTGGTTAACCCAGATGGGAATTGCAGAGGTCTGGTCTAGTCATTCAGCGGGTGGAATGATAGCATGGATTGTACCACTTTAGCTACGGAATGCTTTTTTCTCAAAATCTTTACATAGAAAAAAATAATATTTAAACCCTTGTAAGTTAAAATAAGGGGACGTGGTGGCGCTGCGGGCTAAACCGCAGAAGCCTGTGCTCCAGGGTCAGAAGACCAAGCAGTCGTAAGATCGAATCCACGTGACGGAGTGAGCGCCCGTCGCTTGTCCCAGCTCCCGCCAACCTAGCGGTTTGAAAGCATGCAAATGCAAGTAGATCAATAGGGACCACCTCGGTGGGAAGGTAACAGCATTCCGTGTCTAAGTCGCACTGGCCATGTGACCACAGAAGATTGTCTTCGGACAAACGCTGACTCTGTGGCTTGGAAACGGGGATGAGCACCGCCCCCTAGAGTCGAACACGACTGGACAAAAATTGTCAAGGGGAACCTTTACCTTTACCTTTAAGTTTAAAAAAAGCAAACAAATCCCAGTGCATGAGGAAAATGTTCTGATCCATCCTTTTCCTTACTATGTTTTGTGCTTGCAGGAATACATTTATGTACATGAGTATTGTTTTATTTTTTTAAAAAAACCTCATGCTTGAAAAGTGGTTCAGTCATTCTGTCACAGGTCCTTGACCCACGTGCTGCTGAATGGTTAGGCTAGGCCAGGGATGGGAACCCCTTGACCCTCCTAATACATATTGATGGGCAACACTCTTACTTACTGAGTCTGGTAGCTGAGGATGATGGGATGTGCAGTTCAACAATGTCTGAAGGGGCACACATTCCTCATCTATGGATTGACAAGAAAACATGGGAAATTAGAGCAATAAGATGAATACACTTGTATAAACTAGCTTTCTTTTGAAGAAGGATGGTTAAGATTGAGAGAGCTTCCACCTGCTCAAGTTGATTTAGAATCATATAATCACGAAGTTGGAAGGTGCCTATAAGGCCATAGAGTCCTGCTCAGTGCAGGAATACAAATCAAAAGATATATGCCAGGTGGTTGTCTAAATTTCTCTTTAACTCCTCCAATGTTGCAACACTCATCACCTCTCGAGATAATTGGTTCCACAGTCGTACTGCTCTAACAGTAAGGAACTTTTTTTCCTGATATTCAACTGAAATCTGTATTTCTGTAACTTGAGGCCATTGTTATGTGTCCTGCACTCTGGGTTGATTGAGAACAGATCCTGCCCCTTCTCTGTATGTTGTTGTTTAATCATTAAGTTGTTTCCAACTCTTCGTGACCCCATGGGCCAGAGCCAGCCCATAACTTCATAAAGTGCAGTTCACCTGTGTAGCAATCACTGCCTTAAATACAGAACTCCCTACAGATCAACTTCACTTTTACAACAAGATTATAATACCCTGATACTATTGTTGTTGTTCAGTCATTTAGTCGTGTCCGACTCTTTCTGACCCCATGGACCAGAGCATGCCAGGCCCTCCCGTCTTCCATTGCCTCCCGGAGTTTGGCCAAATTCATGTTGGTAGCTATGATGACACTGTCCAACTATCTCATCCTCTGTTGTCCCCTTCTCCTCTTGCCTTCACACTTTCCTAACATCAGGGTCTTTTCCAGGGAGTCTGCTCTTCTCATGAGATGACCAAAGTATTGGAGCCTCAGCTTCAGGATCTGTCCTTCCAGTGAGCACTCCGGGTTGATTTCCTTTAGAATGGATAGGTTTGTTCTCCTTGCAGTCCAGGGGACTCTCAAGAGTCTCCTCCAGCACCACAATTCAAAAGCATCAATTCTTCAGTGGTCAGCTTTCTTTATGGTTCAGCTCTTGCTTCCAGTCATCACTACAGGAAAAACCATAGCTTTGACTATGCGGACTTTTGTTGGCAAGGTGATGTCTCTGCTTTTTAAGATGCTGTCTAGGTTTGTCATTGCTTTCCTCCCAAGAAGCAAGCGTCTTTTAATTTCATGGCTGCTGTCACCATCTGCAGTGATCATGGAGACCAAGAAAGTAAAATCTGTCACTGCCTCCATATCTTCCCCTTTGATTTGCCTGGATGTGATGGGACCACTGGCCATGATCTTAGTTTTTTTGATGTTGAGCTTCAGACCATTTTTTGCACTCTCCTCTTTCACCCTCATTAAGAGGTTCTTTAATTCCTCCTCACTTTCTGCCATCAGAGTAGTATCATCTGCATATCTCAGGTTGTTGATCTTTCTTCCGGCAATCTTAATTCCGGCTTGGGTTAATTCCCTTCACTGTATGACAACCTTTCAAATATTTGAAAAGTGTTATCGTATCTTCCATCAGTCTTATTTTCTCAAGGCTATATATGCCCAATTCTTTCAGGAATTCTTCATAAGGCTTGGTTTCCAGGCCCCTGATCATCCATTTTACCCTCCTCTGAACTTGTTCCAACTTGTTGGCATCCTTCTTGAAGTGTGGTGTCTAGAACTGGACACAGTAATCAATATGAGGCCTAATCTACTAAAGATGAGGCCTAACCAGTGCCAAATAGAGGGGAAGTAGTATCCTGCAGAATTTTGAGACTATTCTTCTAGTGATGCAACCTAAAATAGCATTTGCCTTTTTTGTAGCCACATCACACTTTTGGCTCATATTCAGCTTGTGATCTGTGACAATTCCTTGATTGTTTTCACTTGTATTGCTGAGCCGGGTATCCCCCATCTTGTAACTGTGTGTTTGGTTTCTTTTTCCTAGGTGCAGCACTTTGCACTTATTCCTGTTGAATTTCATTCTGTTATTTTCAGCTCAGTGCTCCATCCTATCAAGATCATTTGAATTTTGTTTCTGTCTTCAAGGGTGCTAGCTATTCCACCCAATTTTCTGTCATTTGCAAATTTTATTAGCATTCCCTGCATCCCTGATCCAGGTCATTGATACAATATTGAATAGCACTGGGCCCAAGAATGACCCCTGGGGTATCTCAGTTGTTACCTCTTCCCAGTATGAGAAAGAGACATTAATCATCATCCTCTGAGTATGATTTTGTAGCTGATACTTGATCTATCCAGCCCACACCTAGTTAGCTTGCTAATCAGGATATCATGGGGCACTTCGTCAAAAGCTTTGATGAAATCAAGATATAGCTTTCCCTCTGTCTACAGAGAAGTTACTCAATTAAAAAAAAATCAGATTACTTTGGCAGGATTTGTTCCATGTTAGCTTCTAGTTATTACTGCTTTGTTTTCTAGGTGTTTGCATAGTGACGACTTTATAATTTGTTCCAGAATTTTTCCTGGGATTGATGTCAAACTGACTGGTCTGTAGTTCCCAGGTTCCTCCTTTTTGAAGGCTAAAATCCTGTTGCTAAGTCTCAGCCAGAGCGGGCCTCTCAAATCAATGGAATTTACAGAGGATTTGACTCACCAAATCTCTCTTGATTCATTGTGCCTGTTTTACTTGGATTTCATCCCATGAGTATCATATGTACTTTTAAAGGCTATTTCTATATTGCCTTTGTATCCTTACATTATTTTTTCATATCACCTAAAACCAAATGGGTTAAATCCAGACTTATGCTTCAGTTCACTGAATGCATGACAAAATCTTGATGCAATTAGCATAATCTGGGAAAATAAGCAAGAGGATCTTGAAAAAATCATGAATACAATTCTATAACAAGGGCACTCTTTCCCCTTGATGTTTTTTTTTAATAATGGGAAAATAGGAAAACTGACACCACATACTGAGAAACTCTACTATGTGGAGTTCCCAGTTCCGATGCTGCAAGGGCAGGTCTTTGGGGCAGATGTTCAGGCTCCCAACCTTATAACGAACAGGAGAACCACCAAACATATTGGAGCTAGCTTAGTAGATTTTAAGTAACTAATGTCATGTATCTAAATATCTAAGGAGGGTGTTGATACCGGTGGTGCTCTTGTCTGTCCCCCTCCAGTTACTGTACTCCCATCAATCTAACCACCATAGCTGTCAGGGAGGGATTATGGGAGTTGCAATCCAGCAACATTTCGGAGAGCCAGAAGTCGCCCACATCTAAGGTGCTTGTTGGGAGAGTATATCCTATCTCTCAGTAACTTCCCTAGCCTTAAATTATCTCTTATCTTCGTTTCTGATAGGCATTAACAAGAGAGAAGAAGCTTCTGGTGTAGCTGAGGAACCTTCTGGGTCAGATCTTGCTCAAGGTTACTCATTAATGGTTTATACACCACAGATCTGATGAGCATCTATTCCGCTCTACAACTCTAAGTCATTTATAAAGATTTTGAACAATATTGGGCCTAAGACAGAACTTCGTAAAACACCACAGTTCACCAAAGTGAAGTGAAGATGTCCAACTGAACCTCTTTTAGCTATGGATATCTATATTTCAAGGACAAAGTGCTTTAACAGTGATAATTATGGCTTTGGCTTCCTGTTCTGTTCTGACCTTCACAATAGCTACTTCATTACATATTTGTCAGCCAACTAATTTCCCATAATATTGTGCATGGAATGAGTCTAAATCAGATTATCATTTACACAGTAAACAATTGTAAATAGAAGGGACACCGCCGCACCTCCTAATGCAGGTGTAAAACAAATGCACATGTTGTAATAAAATTCATATATAAAGAGAAGCTCTTTGCAAGTACTTGTGTTCAACAATACATTGTTATATTCAATAATGTGAAGATGGCTGGATAGCTCAGTGGTTTAGGTAGTTGGCTGCAGAACCAGAGGCTAGGACTTTGAGGAGCCAGCCTGTGCAGCCTTGGGCCAGCAGCATAGTCTCAAGATACCTCCAGAAGAAGCAGAACCAGAGGCTAGGACTTTGAGGAGCCAGCCTGTGCAGCCTTGGGCCAGGAGCATAGTCTCAAGATACCTCCAGAAGAAGGGAATGGTAAACTTCTGTGTATTCTCTACCTTAGAAAACTCTGGAAAGGGTTGCCATAAGTCAGAATGTACTTGATAATATGAAATTATTATTATTAATGTGAAGATACAAGAGTTGGAGGCAGGACAGCTAATTTGATGGTCTCTAGATGTTTTGGACTACAAGTTCTATAATTCCTGACCCTTGGCCATCCTTGTGGGCCCATATGGGAGTTATAGTCAGACTATCCGGAGGGCACTCAATTGTCTATCTCAGACTTTGAGAATTAAGTTGACATCTCACTACTGGAATAGTACAAGGAGACTACTATGGAATAGGATTGGAACACATAATCACAACTGCAGTTGGTGCTGCATTTCAAATAATTTTTTAAACAGTTGTCTCTTGCACAAGTGTGGCTACCTCTTTTTTTGTGAGAGCAACAATAACAACAGCCCAAATAAAAGTGTTGTGGCTGGGTCTCACGTTTATTTATGTGTGAGTTTTATTTTTTGATATTTGTATCTTGCTTTTTACATGTTCTTCCACATGTAATATTTCTAGGTGGACACAAGAGATAATTTTAACCTGACTGCTGGTAAGATGCTGGATTTTAATTTCAAGGCAGGGATATGTTCAGGAGATGCAGCAACAATGCTAAGAATTGGATTGTCTTGCAGCCAGATGTTTGTATGCTGATTAGTGTGTACCACCTGGACCTCCAGATCATCTTTCCTTGAACGTAGCACATGTTGCCTTTGCTAAATAATTATTGCCTAGTGTGATCTATGCCTTTGATGTGAGCACACAAATTTATAGATGCACTGAGTAACAACGATTGCATAGAGTATCACTGAGAAGGGGGTATGGATGCTCAATACTATATCTACAATTTTTAAAGGAGTTTTGCTTTCTAAAAATCTTCCAGTAGGGCTTATTTTCATTGGAGGATGAAGGAGACAAACCGAGAACTATACTGTGTCACAATCTATCCATACACAGAAAATTAAGGAGTTTTTAAATTATTCTGAAAGCCTTGCAGCAGTGACATGTGACACAGAGCTCAGAAAAAATAACTTCTTTTTGACTACAACTCTTTGAACCCTATAGATAGCTGTGCTATCTGGGAGATTCTTGGAGTTGTAGTCTAAAAAAGTAACTTTCTTGAACTCTATGTGTATGAGAAAGACATTTTTCCCAGCTTGCAAAGCTGCTGTTTAGGTTTACTGTAATTTGATTCTTCTGGTCACAGCATCAGGGGGAGCATAAAATCTCTATCTATGTAGGTGGCTGAAGCTTGTTCTTACCTGGTTTCAACCATCTCACAAGCATGAAAGACCAGTCTTTCAGGTCAGCCACTTTATGGTTTCCCTGCAAGGTTTGAACTGAAATATCTGAAGGTGGTTTGGTTGTGAATGGCAGCTAAGAGTCATTAACTTTACAAAAGACCAGCTTCTCTCATTTGTTGAAAAGTCTAACTCCAGCTGTCTTTGGCCTCTCCTTGGTGGGGAGGGACTGGCTGTGAGGACTATCAGCATGCATTCCTGTATTTCAAATGTTTACTACATTAATTTATAAGGTTGTCATAGGTTGTAGACTCCCTGGAAAAGACACTGATGTTAGGAAAGTGTGAAGGCAAGAGGAGAAGGGGACGGCAGAGAACGAGATGGTTGGACAGTGTCATCGAAGCTACCAACATGAATTTGATCCAACTCCAGGAGGCAGTGGAAGACAGGAGGGCCTGGTGTGCTCTGGTCCAAGGGGTCACGAAGAGTCGGACACGACTTAATGACTAAACAACAACATAGTTGCAAGTGACTCAATGGTTCATAACAAGAACATGGATAAGGCTTGCCTTTAATATGGTGTTTATCTCTTCCCTATCCTTTGTAAGTGACACTGGTATGGAGTAATATCTGCATAAAGATACCTATATCACCTAGCTAGCATCTGTAGAATTAAGCTGTTAGTCCTAGCATCTTAGAATTAAGCTGTTAGTCCCTATTTCTTTTTGAAGAGGGATAAATAATTTCAGTGGGTGCAACAGAGCGAAACAGTTCTGCTTTACAGTGGCCAAACCCCACTGCTACCTCACTGCTGACATTTGGTGACAAACGATGATATGAAAAAGGCATGATGCTTATTTCACTTGGGTTTTTTTATAGTTTGTTGTTGAAGTTTGGTAGTTGATGCGGAGGGAACTTAAGAGATGCAAGATGTTTTCCTAAGATTGTCCATCCCATCAGAAAATTCAATATTTTACTGTGGTTAAGGTATCTGGCTATGGAGCCAGAGGCTGGGACTTCGATTCCCACTATGCCTCCCTGACAGGGACTGGATTCAATGAGCCATAGGATCCCTTCCAGCTCTGCCATTTTAAGAATATTATTTAATTTGTGCAACAAAGCAATGTTGTGGGGAGGGGGGGAGAGACCAACTTTTTTTCCAAGCAGATGAAAGAATTGTTCCAATTGACTTTTTGAAAAAAAAATCATATTAGGAACTGGAATTCTACCTTCCTGATCCATTAGCGATTATCAAGTAATTGGTCACATCACTTTTTAAAATATGCACTTAAAAAAACAAACCCAGATATACATTGCTGCTTGCAGATTCTCTTGACTTCTGTTCTATCCTGAACACATTATAACATCACAGTTACTTTTTAGTTTATTTATTTATTAAATCATGCTTGACATGCTGATTGCGTAGGTTACTCCTCAGAGAATATGAATGAATTGGTATTTCACATCCTGTGAGGTGCATAATCATACGTCATACAGAAGTTATTCCCAGTTTGGACAATCTCTGTAGTGCATCTAATTCCACCTTGCTTCAGTCATGGAGTGGGTGGATTTCGTCAGACCCCTTTCTTTGCAGGTTTTCAGGAAAGCTCTGAAAATCTGCCCGGTTTTGCTAGCCTTTCCTTGGAGGCTGATTTATGTTGAAATAAGTGCCTTTTCCTGCAGTTTTTTTTATTGTTTTGTACTGTTTCCTTTATATCCTACTCCACCTTGGGAGGGCTCCAGGCAACATGAAAATAATAAAAAAGGGAGATTATAAAAAAATCCATTTTGTTGTCTGATCTAGTTATTCAACTTTTAAAACAAGGATTTCAACAGAAAAATTTGAGCAGTAACTTTACATTGGGCCTCTGTGCTTTTCAGCAGTTTAATGTGTGATAAATCAACAAGGCTTCACCTAGTACAGATTGATAGTCACAATTTGTGACCCAAAAGGTGCACCAGAACATTGACCTTTGAATTCATTTAAATTTTACATGGCGATACCCAAGGGTACCAAAGCAGATGTAATCTCAGAGCTTCAGACTGAATTGTTTAAGGACACATGAAGAGAAAATTAAGTTCTTAAATCCTGTTGTTACCATTTTCAGAAAGAAGAAAGAGGATCCATGCAACTACCTCCTAGGCATTTTGACATCAATAGCATTAAACAGTTGATCTGTGAGCACCTAGAAAAGAATGCAGTGATTCCCAGAACCTAGCAAAGGTTTATCAAAAACAAATAATGGCAGAACTGATCTCTCTTTCTCACCCACACCCAACATTACAAATTTGTTAGATCAGAAAAATGCTGTGGATATTGTGTATCTTGATTTTAGGAAGACTTTATTGTGATTTTGTGGATAAAATGTGAACTAGATTATGCTACTGTTAGGTGAATCTGTAGTTAGTTGATGGACCATAGAGTACTCACCAATAGTTTCTTGTTATTCTGGAGAAAGATGAACTGGTTGATGGACCATAGATAGAGTACTCGCCAATGGTTTCTTGTTATTCTGGAGAAAGATGAACTGTGAGGTGTTACAAAGTTCTGTCTTCGGCCCAAAGTTGTTCAGCATTTTTGTAAATGACTTAGATGGAAGAGTAGAGGGAGTGGATGCTCATCAAGTGGATTGCACAAATCTGAGAAGATCTGCTTCCTTTCTTTGGAACAATTGTTAAAGAAGCTGGGTATCTCTAGCCTGGAGAAGAAAAGACTGAAAGTTGATGTGAGATGACATAGAAAGAGCTGCCATGTAGAAAATGTAGCAAGATTTTTTTTTTGGTGGCTTCAGAGGATAAGACCCAAACCAAATAATCCAAATCACAGGAAGGAGATTTTGACTAACATTAAGAATAAATTTCTGATCATAAGAGGTTTTTAACAAGAATGTAAGATGGTGGAACCATCCTTTACTTGAGGTTTTAAGCCGACATTAGATAGCCCAGGAGTCTCCAAACTATAGCCCCCGGGCCATATCTGGCCCACTTTGCCTTTTAATCCGGCCTGGACATAGGAAGAGGAGGGAAGGGGGACACAAGGGATCCCCCCACACCCACTTTGCAAGGTAGCGGGCATGGGGGATCACTTGGATCCCCCTTCCCTCCTGCAGCCCTCGAAAATGTGTAAAATATATGATGTGGCCCTTATACTGAAAAGTTTGGAGTCCTCTGGGATAGCCATTCTGTCAGGAATGCTTCAGCAATGGATTTCCTACAGACGGTAGAGAGATGAATTAAATCAAACAAGATGTCTTCCAGCTCTACAATTCCATGGTCAAAACCTTGTTGCTTATCATATTAAATCACACTAGAGTAGGCCCATTCAACCAGTGGGGATTTGGTGAGTCAATTCCTCCGTTAGCTTCCATTTATTCAAATGGGCCTACATAGTGAATCACAGTTAAAGTAGGTCCACTTGAATCAATGGGATTTATGGAGGAGCTGACTCACAAAATCCCCGTTGATTAACGTGCCTATTCAAGTGCAATTTACTATACTAAGCAATAGGATTTTAGTGTATGATAGAAATTTGTCCAGGAAAGGATTGACTGCAACTCTTCTTTCCCAAATGCTGGCCTTCTGTAGACGACTTTTTTTCTCTCTCTTCACATGGATTAAAATTCAAATGCCATTTCCCTAACCTGCATTCTGAAGTGGTCCTGCCCGGATGCAGCTTTGTCATCTCTGTGAAAAGTAGACCCAAGGAAAGTAGGATGACTTCCTTTGCTGCCTGCAAAAGAGAAAGTTGATTTCCTCATAACTCCAAGTGTTATATTTTACCTCTGAGTCACTTGTCTATTCTTGCACAATAAAGCCAGATAGACTGAAGAGCTGCAGTGTGTGTGTGTGTGTGTGTGGGTGTGTGTGTGTTTGTGTGTGTGTGTGTGTGGGTGTGTGTGTGTGTGTGTGTGTGAGAGAGAGAGAGAGAGAGAGAGAGAGAGAGAGAGAGAGAGAGAGATCTGTTCATTTTATTTATTTATTCTCCCCCCCCCATCAACTCTAACATCAGAGCGGATGGCAAGACCTAATTTGTATTTCAAAGTACTCTACTGCAAATCGGAAGAGCAAAAAGAGAAAATAAAACAAATCCAGGAAAGAATGCCTTCCTCTCTTCTCCTTGTTCCTTTCAACTTCTATAGACCCATTTGCAGGCAAGGGATTTTATTTTTAAATCCAGGGTGCAAAAAGGATTCCTCCCTGTCTGTCCTCCTCCTCCTCCTCCATTATACTTGTAACATTATATTAAAGTTGTTAATTTATTTTAAAAAAATAACAGCACCTAGTATATATATAGTAAGATGGCCATCTGTCCTAATTTACAGAGAAGAGTATTCTATTTCAAGAGCTGTCCACTTTACAGGTGACTAAACCTATGAAGGGAGAGCAGGGCAGGGACTTTGAAGCACCTTAAGTCCTGTTAGTACTTTGGGGGTACTGCTGTGCTATCTCCAAGCTGCTTATGACTCATGGAGACACTATGTGCAATGTGCACAAATATGTGCACTGTGCAACGTTCAAGCAGCGTTTTATCTTTGCCCCCCCTCCTCCAGTGAGTTTCCTGGCGAAGATTTGAACCCAAATCTCCTGGGTCCCAAACCGAAACTCTGTCCACTACGCCACAATGGCCGTTAGACAGAAGATTATAGATCCCAGCTCCAGAAAAGGACACCCCTCTTATGCGCCAATCACTGCGTTAGGAGTTGGCCTCCGAGCCAAAAGACCCCAGCTCCCGAAATGAGGCAGGCCGACCGGCCGGTCACCTCCCCCCACCCCTTTCCCGGTCATCTATCTGCTCACAGCCATGCACATTTCTAGAGAAGACAGTACTACTATGCACCTTTTTCTAATTACTTCTTAATTTTTATACATGCATACAAATGAGCCTATGAAAAATTTAACGCAGATTTGTATCCTTCTTTGTCTCCTTTTCTGGAGATGTTTTACAGACTGTCCTAATACACGGGGGCCATGCCAAGGAGCCGGGCTCCTCCTTCCAGAATGCAAGCCAATTAAAACTCTGTTGCTGTTATATGCTGTCAAGCCAAAATTGACTTATAGCAACTCTAACAGGGATTTTAAGGTAAAGGAGATATTTAAAGAGTGGTTTATCCAGTGAGCTTCCATGGTTGAACAGGGATTTGAACCCAGGACTCCTGAGTCCTAGTTTATCCATTAACACTGGCTGTTTACCAATTAAAACTCTCCAGTTGAGAAATCTTAACTCTGCAGGTCTGGGTTGTGGCCCAAGAGCTGTTTTTGTCATTGGTATTGCAAAACACTGTTCTTTTTATCTCCAAGATTTCTGCTGCTATGGTAAGACCTATTATAACTCACTCTCTCTGTGTATAATGTTGAGCTGCTCCTCACTTTATAGTTATTCTCTGCATCTACATAAGGCATAGATGCAGAGAATAACTATATGTTAGATAAATAAATACATAATAAAACAAATAAATGCTGAGTTCCTTTTGTAATTGTTCCTTGCATCCACATATAATGTGGGATATGAGATGCAGCCCAAAGTGTTATGTGTATAGAATCTGGTTTTGTTTTTTTGTTTTGCTAATGTTTGTCTGTGGTTTGATAGGAAGTTTTCTTTGAATAGCAAGGTCTATTAATATTGTTTGTCTTTTAATCTCTACAGCATATGGCTTGTCTTGCTTGCATGAACTATCTCAAGTGATTTGCTTATCAGGCCACAGAGCTGAAGTGTGTTACGTTTTAAAGACTACAGTCCTAGAATCCCCTAGCCAACATGAACTATGGCCAGGTTGTCTGGGGGATTCTGGGAGTTGTAGCCCACAGAAGTAAATGTTTCTAGCTCTATAAGCAGGGCAACAGACGATGGGAGCACATTGCAGAGATACCAGTAACCAGTTCATCTTCCATCTGGAAAATTCTGAACACATGGAAGGCAGGAACATTATGTTTTCTTCTGGACCCAGTTCCAACATGACAGATTGGCTTGTTCCCATTTCTACCCATTATACAAACAAACTATCTCATTAGGCTGATAAGCTTAGACATCTGATGTCTATATGTTAGATAACTCAGGAATCCAAACTGGAATAGGCACCTTGAGACACTTCAAATGTTGCTGGACTATGACTTCAGTCTGTTCAAACAACATAAGAAATGGGCAGAGGTGATGTAAGAGCCAATAACATCTGTAAAACCATACATTCCTCATCCTTCAAAAAGTTAATTTTGGATATCAAGTCCCAGAATACTCCAGATACAACTGGCTCTGATTGGTAAGTTTGTCAAGAGATAAGATGGAGTGCCTGTCGTTCTTGGGGCCGAGTGGTGTGAAGAATTGAGTGTGGCTTTAAAATAAATTAAACTTTCCTCTAATTATGCAATGGATAAAAAGGTTCTGACAGGAACCTGCAGAGCAAATTGAGCTACAAGTCTCCCTCAGTAGACCCATCCCTTATTCGTTAGTTTACCTCAAATGGCACTTAGTGTCTCAATTCATTAACTCAGTGACTCTGGGTATGAAAAAGAATAAAATGTTTCTGTATACTTATGACAGTTCTACATAGATAAAAACAAACATCATAAAATGCTAACTTGTTACATTACTGAGCTTAACTGGTTAACTAGCTTCACTATTAACTTCGCTATTAACTCTCACTGTCCATTTCTGACAGACTCCATTGCTAACACCAACAGAACCTGATTAAGTGTAAAAAGATGGGGAAAAAATCTGAGGTAGAGAGGGAAATAATTGGCTGCTACTGATTTGCTTAAGTCACTGAATTGAGTGATGTCACTGAATTGAGTGACATTCAGCCCCAGTCCAGAAAAGTCCCTTCAACAGCTAAAACCTGTTGAAGGCATCATGTGCACGCTGCAATATTTCCAACAGTTTTACCATTAGACAGTGAGGCAGCTGCTCAGATAGCAGGTTTTGGATGTCACAAAACGACAAGGAATACTTTATTATTTAAGTCTCTGTAAAGATACCCAAGTAACCTTATTCGCTGCTCTGCCTTAGGCAGCAAAATGTCTAAGTCTCACATAGTCAAGGTGTTATTATTAGCAGCAGTGCTACTCAAGCTAATTTTACTTTTTTGATGCTCTTTAGTCTAAATCATAACCAGTAATATGCCATGTAATCGTTGTTTGTGGCTTATTCCTCTCCCCCAGCATCATCCATTATTATGTTCTTCACCTTCATAGGGTTAGTTTGGACATGTTATACATAACATGTATAGCCCTAATTATAATTCTAAACCTATTAACTAGAAACATATATGAATGTGCATCTTGAAAATGTGTAATAGAATTTAAAACAAATATACATTCTGCATTAATTTCAAATGCAGTAACTTGCAATTGGATTTGAAATGTGAATGCTTCGCAATTTAAAAACACATGCACCTTAGTAAATATTTTTAAGTATCGTCTTCAAAAAGTGACTTCCATGGATCCTTTTATAACTGAGGTCTTGCTGATGAGTTGAAATTGAGTTGCCAAATTCATAATTTCCACATTTGTTTTCCTATCCCAAGGAATCCAAATGTAGGGATATGCAACTGAGGTGGCTGAAGTGGATTTCCCTTCCTAGTTTTCCTTCTTCTGTCAGTTCAGCACACCCCTTAAAGTATTATAAGAGTAGAAAAAAATGCAGAACCCTGAAGAAAGTAGCTGTTGCATTGAAACCAAGGACATGTGTTTTTTGCCTAAAATTGAGGGTGGGAATTAATGTATTAATTTCTTCACCACAGCTAATTTATAGAATGTGGGAGGAGCTTCCTGAATCCTCCTAGAGAAGTTGTTCCAATAGCAGAAATTAAAGATGTTGCTAAGAAATCACAGAAAAATGAAGTTGGAAGGGGCCTACAAGGCCATCAAGTCCAATGCCCTGCTTAGTGCAGGAATACAATCAAAGCATATCTACCAGGTGATTATCTAAGTTTTTATTTAATGCCTCCAGTTTTGGAGGACTCTCCAAGTTCTGACCTGACTAGTTTCACTCTTGTACTGCTCTAACAGTTAGGTTGTATATTCCTGATATACAACCAAAATTTGTCTTCCTTTAATTTGAGCCCATTGTTGCATGTCCTGCACTCTGGGATGATTGAGAACAGATCTCACCCCTCCTCTGTATGACAGCCTTTCAAATATTTGAAAAGTGCTATCATATCACCTCTTAGTCTTTTTTCTCAATGCTAAACATGCCCAATTCTTTCAGCCTTTTCTCATAAGGCTTGGTTTCCAACCCCCTGATCATCCCTGTCTATCTCCTCTGAACTTTTCCCAATATGTTAGCATCCTTCTTGAAGTGTGGTGTCCAGGACACAATACTCAAGGTGAGGCCTAGCCAGTGCTGAATAGAGGGGGACTAACACCTTGTGGGATTTGGAAACTATACTTCTATTAATGCAGCCTAGAATAGCATTAGACTATTTTGCAGCCACATCACACTGTTGGCTCATATTTAGTTTGTGATCTACGACAATTCCAAGATCCTTCTTGCTCATAGTTTTGCTGAGCCAGGTATCCCCCACCTTGTAACTGTGCAATTGGTTTCTATTTCCGAGGTGCGGTACTTTGTACTTATCCCTGTTGAATTTCATTCTGTTGCTTTCGGCCCAGTACTCCATCCTATCAAGGTCATTTTGAATGTTGTTTCTGTCTTCTAGGGTATGAGCTATTCCGCCCAATTTGGTATAATCTGCAAATCTGACAAGCACTCCCTGCATTCCCTCATCCAAGTCATTAATAAAAAGAGTTTACTGTTTGTCTAACACTGTCTTCCTGTAAATTATAACATGCTGTTTTCTACTGACTTTATCTTATTCTCTTTTGACACTCTAGTAATAACTTCAGACACTCAATGATTGTCCTTCATTCCCTGTTTCAGCTACCCACCAACTTTCTGTCAACAATAAAAGCAAAAATAGAATGTCTCTAAACATAAAGGTTTTTCCTGGAAAAACTAGTTTTTTTGCCCCACAGTGGAACACCTAAGGTGTCCTCATGGTGCGGACATTAGGCACACAAAGGCTGAGAACTACTGTGCCACCAACCTAATCTGAGGGTATACAACCATCCAATCAATCTTTTTTGTGTCCCTCTTTCCTCCACTCCTTACCCTGACAAAGCAAAAAAGATGCTGCCTTTGTACCTTCTGCAGGTCTCAAAAAGTCTGCATGCTGCTTAACCTGACAAAGTAATTAGCCCCAACAATGCATTTAATTACACAAAAAGGACACCCTGCCTCCTGCAATAATCCTCTCTTTAATGGAACAACTTTTTGGTTTCTGTTCGTTAATTAAAACAAAAAGATGGCCATGTTGGTCCCAGGAGTAAAAACCCAGTTCCACAGTTCATCAGTCCTTTTATGACTTAGGAGGACCGATCAAAAGAGAACACAAGTGTGTGCTTTTGTTGCTGGATTTGTTGTGATGCGCTCCGTTGACTGTGGAGGCAGATGGTTATTGTTGTTATTGCAGGTTCTCTTTAAGACGACGAATAAGGGACTTTTTTTCTCCCTGTGACTGTTTCCTGCTTCAGCCGTATGTGTGGATGTGTGTTATGAGGAGCAGGAAACGGGAGCTGGCGGAGCAAGTGGATGAGAGACGGAGGAAGAGTAGAGGCTACACCAGGCCGGTCAGACCCGAAGGCGGAGGAAGAAGAGGAACCTTTCCAAGCATTTCCTCCTCGAAGAAGATTGCGATCGCTTCCCCTGCTTTTTCTTTTGGGGAGGTGTGGCAGAGCCGCCTTAGGCCACAAAAGGTGAAGCCACCACGTGGGACGCGTTGTGGTTTTGTCAGCCTGGTGATGGCACTCTTGGTGGTGTGAGCCTGAGGAGGGGGGCAAAAAGAGTCGTTGGAGATCGAGGAGGGATAGGGGGCTGAAGAAGGGGGGAGAAAAGGGGGAGAACCGCTGCAAACAGCGCCCCCCCCATCCTCAAGAAGCACCTCCCCAAAGCATCTACTTCTTCACAGTCTACAGCTGCTCTCAGGATGGATTATTGTTCTCTGCCGAGCTGGGAGGTGATGTAAGTGCAACCTTAACCCCCCCCCCCGTTTTCCTTTTCTCTCTCCCCCCCTCTTTAAGAATCAGCCTGGCGAAGAAAACGGAGAAAGAAGGGAGGGAGAGGAAGAGTAGAAGGTTGCCTGAGGGAAGAGGGAAACATTAGTAACGGGGGGGGAGGGAGAGAAGCGAGCGATGCCTCCCCAGGAATGCGCCCTAGTGAAGAGGATGGGGCTACTCGCAGGAGAGGGACGGTCCACCCCCATGCGCCCACCCCAACCCCTGTGGGATCACGGGGCAGCCAGATGTGCGCTCCGTGGCTTCGGCCCAGCGCCTCGCCGGGGAAACTGGGGGGGGAGGGGGACGAGTGCTTTTGGAGCACCCAGGCTTTCCATCCTGTTTATTTGTGCCTCCCTCTGAGCTAATTGCATGTTCACCCCCCCATGCTTCCCTCGCTCTGTTGTTACTAGCACCTTGTCCCTCTCCCCTCCGTCAGTTTCGTTTTCTGCCTCCCCTATTGTACCTCCCCACCACCAGGACGAGCTATGAAGCCTTCTGCCCCTCCCTATGCACAGTTCATGCTGACCCCCTCCTTCTATAAGTCCCTCTTCAGGTCTGCTCACCTCTCTTCCCAGATTCCACAAAGCAGTAGGAAAACAACCCCCCCTCCCATGTTTTCTTCAGGTTCTCTGTCCATTTTATTTTGAATCAGTTGGCCCTCAGATCAACCCCCCCCTCACACACACAACCCATCATCTCTTGACTTTCCTACCCAGCCAGATCCCCTGCCCTTCCCCGGCCCATCACCCCCTTTAAATTTTAATTTTATTCCCCACATTGCTGTTTTTTCTTTCTTTCTCCCTTCCCCCACTCCTACCCCTTCTAAGTGCATTGTGCTGCCCCCCCCCAACCTGTGCCCCCCTTCCTGGTTTATTGTTTTATCAACTCAGTTACTTCTATTTTTCCCAGAGTTCCCGTCCTATTTCTGCTTGTCCCCATCTAGTTAAAATACAAGTTGGGCCAGTCTCTCTATGACTTTCCCCCTTCTCTTACCACAGCTGACTCCTAGGAACTCTGCACCCACGTTCCTGCTGTTTTGTTGGCCTTTCCATCTGCATTCACTTCCTCTCCACGCCTGCCCACCCCTCCAGTCTCACACCATTTTGATTATGCCTCTTCCAGGAACCCTTCTCACCTCCTCCTGCGCTTTTCATAGGGTGCCCTCCCGCCTCCCATCGAACTCCTTTCTTTGGGCTGCCCTACATTTTTTATATGTTGGTAGCCTTCCCACTCTGTCTCTGAAACTGCCTCACTCTGTGTTGCTCAGTGCTTCCCCACCCACTCTGTTGTTTGGGATTTACTCTTTGTCCCATAGATAGTTGATTATCCCAGAAATCCTAGGTATGCTTCCCTGAATTCTAGGATAGAGAGAAGGCAGTCTGTAAATATATTTAACAGGGGATTAATTAGAAACACACAATTGGACCCTAACCATTTTATCCCACAATCCCTCCCCCGAGCATAATTTCAGTCCTATTGGATTCTAGGACTTCGCCCCCCACCCATTCCATCACTACCCAACCTGTAATCGCAGGATGTAGCCCTGTCTGATTTTTCCCCCCATTGTCCTAACCTATAATACTTTCCCCACCCTCAGCAACTTACATTAATCTTGCTTCGTTTGATTTTTCACGTTCCCTGTAAACGTCCGCTGTTGTGTTGTGTGCCACCAAGTCAATTCCGACTTATGGCAACCCCTTTCAGGGTTTTCTTGGTAGAAAATATACAGAAGTGGTTTACCATTCCCTTCTTCTGGGGGCATCCTGGGACTGTGCAGCGTGCCCAAGGCCACACAGGCTGGCTCGAGGCACAGCAGGCACAGTGAGGAAGTGAATTCCCGACCTCTGACTCTGCAGCCAGATACCTAAACCAATGAGCAATCCAGTCCCCAACCCTGCCATTTAGTTCTTTAATCAAATTATCCAAATCTGAATGAGAGCATTCACCCGTCAGCGTGATTTGTGAAACAGTTGTGGAGAAGAAGATCTCTGAGTATATGCAGAGTGCATTTCCCTGTGTCTGCTTGAAGCCACTGGATGCCCCCGTGCAACTGGGATTATGCAACGTGTGTCTCCCTTTCTACTTTGTTGGCCTGCTAGGAAGGAATATGATGCAGAGACTGACAGTTCCATTGCCTTTATAGATGTTCCTTTCCTTTATGTACTGATTCTTGGTTGTATACCTTGCATTTATATGTCTTGCAACAGACCATAGGAGCTGACACTGTGAAAGAAGCTTGGGTATTTTAAGTTTGAATCCTTGTTCACCATTTTCTTCTCTCTCTTCTACTTCTCTCTCTCTCTCTCTTTTTTGGGAGAAAAATAGGGTTGAAATAGAAGAGAATGAAATAAAGATATTGCCTCCTGTACTGGAAGCAGGATGTCTCCAAATACCAGATGCTAGGGTCCGTGAATGTGCTGCTTCTGGGCTTCCCAGGGGCAATTGATTGACCGCTGTTGCACCAGAATACTGGTTTAGATACGCCTTTGGTTTGATCCAGCAGGTTTTGTTCTGATACTTTTTTTTCACGCTTGTCTAAACAGCTGCCGCCAGAGGCAAATTCTGAGTGCTTTCAGGGCATCTGACATGTCTGACCTTTTCTGCCCAATCCACAGGGAAACTTCTCGGAGAAAGCCCCATTGGACTGAATGGGAGCAATACAAGTACAGTACCAGAATTAGGAAAGGTTAATGGGGTGGGGCAAGAACCATTAGAATCCCCCACCCAGCATGACCACTGGAGCTCTGGAACAAAAAAAAGTAACTTTTCTAACTTCTGGCAAAGTCATCCCGCAAGAATTTGTTTCCAGTTCTGTGTCTCTGGAACATTGTTGTTGTTGTTCTTATGTGCCGTCAAGTTGCCTCCAACTTGTGGCAACCCTATGAATGAATGCTCTCCAGAATGTCCTGGCCTCTGCTGCCCTGCTGAGCTCCTATCAACTCAAGCCTGTAGTTTCCTTTAGGAATAAGCTCATCTCAGATTTAGTTTTTCTCCTGCTGCCTTCCAACTTTCCCAGTGTTATTATTTTTTTCTAGAGAATCCTCTCTTCTCATGATGTGCCTGTAGGACAGCCTCAGTTTCAACACTTTTGACGCCAGAGGAAGTTCAGGGTTGATTTGATCTGCAAACATGCAGATTAATTAATGAGGATGCATCTGCACAGGTGCAGAGTACCTAAGGAGGTCTTACCATCAAATGTAAAGGTTCCTCTTGACATTTAGTCCAGTCATGTCCAACTCTAGGGGGCGGTGCTCATCCCCATCTCCAAGCCGTTCAGCCAGTGTTTATTCGTAGACAGTTTCCATAGTCACGTGGCCAGCGCAACTAGACACAGAACGCTGTTACCTTCCCACCATAGTGGTACAGTACTTGTTTATCTACTCGCATTTACATGCTTGCAAACTGCTAGGTTGGCAGGAGCTGGGACAAGCGACGGTAGCTCACTCCGTCCTGTGGATTCAATCTTCTGACCTAGCAGCACAGAGGCTTCACCTGTTTATCTACTCGCATTTACATGCTTGCAAACTGCTAGGTTGGCAGGAGCTGGGACAAGCGATGGTAGCTCACTCCGTCCTGTGGATTCGATCTTCTGACCTAGTAGCACAGAGGCTTCTGCAGTTTAACCCGCAGCGCCACCACGTCCCTTACACTCTTACCATCAAACAGAGGAATATATGTCTTGTACCTGCAGCTAGAGTACAGCAGTTTTAGATCTCTGTACCAAATGTCCTCTTTTTGTTTTCTTCTTATGTGCAAATGACTTCTTAGTTAGTTTGTGGTTCTCAGGCTGCGGTTTCTGGGGTCACTGGGGTCCTTGCAGACCATGATCAGTTGCCCCCTGAGACTGTAATCAAAACAGGAGAGGACCCTACTTAAGAATGAAAACTGTTAAATGTATTTACATTTTAACATGCTTGAAGAGGTAAGCTACTTTTCAATTTAACTGTGGTGATTTTAAGCTCACATCTCTTGGCAGCACAGCAGGTTGTGCTATAATTGTAAACAACAACAATGGCAATAATCCCTTAGCTTGTTGCATTGTTCTTTCTCATGCACATGACCTTCGTCATGCACATGACTTGCTGATCCCGGACACACAAGAAGAGTGGAATAGTGCCAATGTAATGGAGAACCCTTTCCCCTCAGTGGCTGTACGTGTGATGTGCAACGAAAGACTGTGTATAGTAGACTCCTGCTTCTGGATTCCAGTCAGCCACTTCTGCTCTTACCTGAATGAGGTTTAAGCTAGCCACGTCCCTGTCCTCATAATCCTTTTCATGTTTATTTTCCAACTCCATGACCCCTGGAGGCCACAGAGCATGCCCCCCATTTTTGAGGGGATGATGATGATGATGTGTGTGGGAGTACCTCTTTGAAATTTGCAAATCTGCCAAATTTGGGGTTCCCTTTTGTGTACTGATTTTTTTGCTGTTACGTGCCATCAAGTTAAGTCTGTCTGATGGTGACCGTAATAGGGTTTTGGAGATATGAGAGATGTTCAAGCAGTAGCTTACCACTTCCAGCCTCAGTGAGTGTCTGTTGTCAAGCGGCAATTTGAACACAAGCCTTCTGTGTCCTCGTCCAACCCTCTTTCCACTACATCACTGTGGTCCTCACTTCAGGGCTGATGTCTTCATCATACAATCAATAGCCTCACATTGTTGATCCACTCCTATTGGCACCAGTATTTTGGATTTGCTGTTACAGGGAGGGGCAGGAATCACAGAATTATGCAATTTGAAGGCATCCCCAAGACCTACCTAGTCCAACTCCCTGCTGGTGCAGGAAACCCTGAGCTAAGGAAGAAGCCAAGCCAAATGGTGGTTCTGAGTCCAGCAAAAATGAGCCCCAAGGCTAGTTTTTGCAAAGAGGCAGCTGTGCTGTGCCCTTCTGCCTTGACATTTTGCGTGCACCATCTGTATGCAGAATCTGTAGAATAGTATGCAAAACAGGAATTCATATATATCTGGAATATGCGGCCAGCACATCTTGAGTGTTGGGTAACCCTCATCCTATCTGGCTTCCTGAGCATATGTATTTATGCATACTGGGTGGGCTTTCAAACACATATTTCTTCCATCCATACATTGGATGAAATTCTCTTGCAAAATTACAGAAATTGTGTAACTTTTGGAAGCAAGTTGCCATTACATTATCTGTGGAATTCTGAGTTGTGTGACTCAGTGTGCAACAGATGAGTTCTATGGAGATTTCTTAAGTTATGGCATTTCACATTAAAAATTACGCTGTTTGTGTAAGTGCGCAAGAGGATTTCAGCCACCACAAATGTAATGTGTACACAAAGTGCATATACTTTGTACATAATGCTTGGAGCATGGTTGAGTACACAGGTAAATCTGTGTGGATGCTTCCATCACTTTGTACAAGCTCTAAGTTTGATATTGTCAACTAAAGTTGCAATTTGCTTTCCTTCTTACTCTCACTTACTTTTCAGTGACAAAATAAAATTTCCAGCTCTTATGAGTATAAAGATAAACTTGAATGAGCCTGCAATTAGAACTGCAGGCAGAATGCAGGGAGGATCACAAGAAAGAAGGAGGTTGTTGACAGTGACCACTATGGCTCTCTTTTTCTCTTTGTCACCTGTGGAATAAATTGCGTTTGGGAGAGGGAGTGTAAAAATATGCATATGTGCTGTTTTGGATTCTTTAGGATTGTTTTTCTTGGTGGAGAATGTTGCTGTGCCAAATTCCAAGGTACAGGAAATACTATCTAACCCTTCAGGGCCATGGGGTGAGTCTAAATGGCCCCATGGGATCCTTCCCAAATTGATGACTTTGTGCACCAGCTGCTGTCTAGAAAACAGCATCCTTTCAAGCTTTCTTTTCTTTCTAAAAGGACCACAGACAGCTTCTCTCTTCTGTTGTCAGTTAACTTGACTGTGGCAAGAAGGAAGGTCTTTGCTTAATTGCTTTCAATTCCTTGGCCTCTTCCCCCCCTTTTGTCTTTGACAATATGATTGAAACAGTATTGGGCGGAAGGAGTGGTTTGGGTTCCATGGGGTGAGGAAGGCAACAGGGAAAGATTTCTCAACCTGTAGGTGCCTCTTTTAAATTTTTTTATGGACCAGCTTAGGAGAATTGAAAGACCAGCCAACAACCAAAGGATGCG